CAAATGCAATCACTGACTAGGTTTCTGACTTTGGACAGTTACATGAACATATGGTGTTATTAAATTAGTTATAATGTAACCTCAGCAATGTCGAAGGAGGTACAATAAGACTCAGGCATACTTTTGAGTCAATGATATTTAATATGCTGTTGCATTACCATTGGCACATTTCATTTCCATCAACAACAAAAAGAAATGATGGGTTACATCTGTTAGGAATAATTAGGTCCTTTCCATTTGAGTGTACATCAGTATGGAACATAAAAAAAAGTCTGAAATAATATGGGTGCAATAAACTTTTAGCGACCAAAGAAGCAGAATACTGTAAATTCAGAAATTATTGCGTGCATTCATTATTGTGATTTTCCGCGAACTAATAAAAATGCATGTTTAATTATTGTGATTTTAGGAAAAGCTACATACAGATATATGTATTTGACATTAGAATGCGAGTTCTTATTATTGCGATACTCCAGTAGTTGCATTAAAACCTCGCAATAATTTCTGAATTTACAGTAATGTAAACAATTTAAACATACCATTTTTGTCCCCCGCGTACGGGTTGTGGGGGACATGGAAATACAATTCATCCGTCCGTCCGTCCGTTCTTGTTAGCTCTCTCATGTGAACAATTCATGACAAATTTTTATGAAACTTATATGATTGATTTATATCAGCAATGTCTTGGACGAGTTTGAAAATCAGTGCCGAACAATTATTTTAAAAAGAGTTATGCCCCTTGGACATAAATTTTATGGAAAATTGCATCGTTGGGGCTCTCATGTGAACAATTCTTCCCACAATTTTATGAAACTTACATCATAGGTTTAAATAAGAAATGTCTTGGACGAGTTCGAAAATCAGTGCCGATCAAATATTTTTAAAAGAGTCATACCCTTGGAAACATTAATTATATTGAAAACTGCATTGTTAGCGCTCTCATTTGTACAATTATTGCCAGATTTTTATGAAACTTATATCATAGGTTTATATTAGCAATGTCTTGGACAATTTCAAAAATCAGTGCGGATCAATTATTTTTAAAAGAGTTATGCACCTTGGAAACATTAATTTTATGGAAAATTGCATCGTTAGCGCTCTCATGTGTTCAATTCTTGCCAGATTTTTATGAAAATTATATCAGCAATGATTTGGACGAGTTCAAAAATCAGTGCTGATCGATTATTTTTAAAAGAGTTATGCCCTTGGAAAAATAAATTATATGGAGAATTGCATTGTTAGCGCTCTCATATGTACAGTTCTTGCCAGAATTTAATGAAACTTAAATCATAGGTTTAAATTAGCAATGTCTTGGACTAATTTGAAAATCAGTGTCGATCAGTAATTTTTAAAAGAGTTATGCCCCTTGGAAATATTATTTATATGGAAAATTGCCTTATGAGCGCTCTAATGTGTACAATTCTTGCCAGATTTTTATGAAATTTATATTATAGCTTTATATCATCAATGATCTTGAAGAGTTCAAAAATCAGTGCCGATCAATTATTTTTAAAAGAGTTATGCCCCTTAAAAATTTTGATTATATGGAAAATTGCAATGTTATCGTTCTCGTGTTCAATTCTTGCCAGAATTTTAAGAAACTTATATCATAGGTCTCTATCAGCAATGTCTTTGACATTTTCGAAAATAAGTTCTGATCAAATTTTTTAACGAGTTATTCCCCTTGGAAATACAAATCATAATGCAAATCACATTGCATATGCTCTGAAGCCTTCATTTCTCTTAAGATATTAATAAAAAGTTTTAAAGAACAAAAAAAAGTGTTTTTTTTTTAGTTATTGCCCTTGTACCTTGGAAAGATAAAATATGTGCAACGCAGGGGAAATTGGAACTCTGTTCTTTTATGGTAGTTTTTTTACCTTCCATATAAAATGTATGAAAATGTTCATGTCTAAGGAAGGACTGTACTAGATAAAATAAGTGAATCAAAGCTCAAGTTCACAATGTAACTTCCCACAACAATGGAACATGTGTACCATAAAAAATGTGGAATGTGTCCATGGGACACAGATGATGCCCCTGCTTGCATATCATATAAAGATAAAAAGGGACATAACTGAAGAACGGTAAAAGTCACGCTACCCAAATTTGTACTTGATCTGAGTTTTGTGGTCAAAATCATTGTGTATAAGTTTCATAACATTTGGTTGAGGCAAACTAAAGTTAGAGAAGGGATACGAAAAATTCAGCAATTTTTATGTTTATAAAGGGGCATAACTCAAGAACGGTAAAAGTGACACCAACCAATTTCATTAAGTGGTAATAAGCATTGCCATTGTGTAAAAGTTTCATAACATTTGGTTGAGGCAAACTAAAGTAAGAGAACGGAAACGAAAAATTCAGCAATTTTTGTTTATAAAGGGGCATAACTCAAGAACGGTAAAGGGACGCCACCCAATTTTGAACTTGATCTGTATTAAGTGGTAATAAGCATTGTGTAAAAGTTTCATAACATTTGGTTGAGGCAAACTAAAGTAAGAGAACGGAAACAAAAAACTCAGCAATTTTTGTTTATAAAGGGGCATAACTCAAGAACCGTTATCGTGACGACACCCAATTTCAAACTTGATCCGTGTTTTGTGGTAATAAGCATTGTGTATAAGTTTCATAACATTTGGTTGAGGCAAACTAAAGTTAGAGAACGGAAACCAACATTAGGACGTACGTACGTACAGACGACAAGGGTAAAACTTAATGCCCCCTCCGCTACGATGGGGGCATAAAACTAGAGGTTCTCAAGAGCCTGTGTCGCTCACTGTATTTACTGATGCTTTGGAAATCATGTAAAATAAGGTTAAAATCATAATTAATAGTATTAGATATTAGATATTATAATGATATCTAAGATAATTACAAAAAACTGCAAAATTTTTGTAAAATTACTAACTCAGGGGCAGCAACCCAACAAAGGGTCATCGGATTTGTCTGAAAATTTCAGGGCAGATAAATCTAAATCTGATGAACATTTTTGCCCCCTGTCAGATTTGCTCTAAATGCTATAAACCAAAAACTGCATTTTACCCCTATGTTCTATTTTTAACTAAGTTGGCCATGATGGTTGGAAGGCGGGGTCATCGGACAAATTTTTTAAACTAAATACCCTAATAATGATTATGACCAAGTATGGTTAAATTTGTATCAGTAGTTTCAGAGAAGAAGGTTTTTGTAAAAGATAACAAAAATTTACGAAAAATTGTCAAAAATTGACTATTAAGGGCAATAACTCCTAAAGGGGTCGACTGACAATTTTGGTCATGACAACTTATTTGTAGATCTTACTTTGCTGAACATTATTGCTGTTTACAGTTTATCTCTATCTATAATAATATTCAAGATAATAACCAAAAACTGCAAAATTTCCTTAAAATTACCAATTCAGGGGCAGCAACCCAACAACAGGTTGTCAGATTTGTCTGAAAATTTCAGGGCAGATAAATCTTGACCTGATAATCAGTTTTACCCTCTATCAGATTTCCTCTAAATGCTTTGGTTTCAGAGATATAGGACAAAATCTACATTTTACCCCTATGTTCTATTTTTATCCATGGCGGCCATCTTGGTTGGTTGGCGGGGTCATCGGACACATTTTTTAAACTAAATACCCTAATAATGATTATGGCCAAGTATGGTTAAATTTGTCTCAGTAGTTTCAGAGAAGAAGATTTTTGTAAAAGATAACAAAAATTTACGAAAAATTGTTAAAAATTGACTATTAAGGGCAATAACTCCTAAAGGGGTCGACTGACAATTTTGGTCATGACAACTTATTTGTAGATCTTACTTTGCTGAACATTATTGCTGTTTACAGTTTATCTCTATCTATAATAATATTCAAGATAATAACCAAAAACTGCAAAATTTCCTTAAAATTACCAATTCAGGGGCAACAACCCAACGACAGGTTGTCAGATTTGTCTGAAAATATCAGGGCAGATAGATCTTGACCTGATCATCAGTTTTACCCTATGTCAGATTTACTCTAAATGCTTTGGTTTCAGAGATATAAGCCAAAATCTACATTTTACCCCTATGTTCTATTTTTAGCCATGGCCGCCATCTTGGTTGGTTGGCGGGGTCATCGGACACATTTTTTAAACTAGATACTTGAATGATGATTGTGTTTAAGTTTGGGTGCATTTGGCCCAGTGGTTTCAGAGGAGAAGATTTTTGTAAAAGTTTACGGACGACGGACGCAGGACGACGGACGACGGACGCCAAGTGATGAGAAAAGCTCACTCGACCCTTTGGGTCAGGTGAGCTAAAAAGCTGAAAGAAAATGAACTAATCAGGAGAGTTTGGCAGTCAGATTGTCTGCTTTAAGGCTCTTCTTATCATGCTGGGATCATCATAATCCAAGTTAAACCACAGGTAATAATCATCTGTGATGAACATAAAAGAAGAATGCTATAAAATATTTTTTATCGTCGGTGGCTGTCTGCCATAATTGTTTTTAGCATATATAAGGCTGTTGGTTTCTCTTTTGAATTGTTTCACATTTGTCATCAACGACCTTTTATATCATACTATTGTATGTGTATTGCTCATTGTTTATATTGTTGAAGGCTGTTCAGTGACCAGTAGTTGTTCATATCTAAGGTCTTTGGTGGATAGTTGTCTCATTGGCAATTATACAATATCTCCTTGTTTTTATATAATCTATGTACATGTAAATGTGCACTTATAGAACATTCACCATACTATTTCCTCATCCCCAGGTAACTAGAAATTATGTGGAAGTTGAAAACACTCATTCTAAACCATAGACAGGCCTCACAAGTTGACAAAATGTTCATTCATTCACCTTAGTACTAGCTACACTTTGTAGGTTAACATTAGCTGAATCCGGTAGTCAAGTAGTCCTGCAAACATGCCATGTTTCTTAATCAAATGTAACTATAAATCCTTGGACATTACAAATGTTTGACAAATCAGGTGTATATCTAATCCTTTTGTATTGGTTTTAAAAAAACAAGCACTCATTCATTTTGATAATTTTATTAAAAATACTTCAGATCAAAAACTTTTCTTTACCAAACTTGACCCAAATATTTATGTATAACAAACTATTGTCATTAACTTCACCAAATATATTTTTCTACAATTAATAGAACATGACTGAGAAAATTTAGAATTATACAGAGCAATTCAGATTTCAACTACATGAAAGAAACAAGTCAGATTGAACTTTTAAAATTCAATAATCAAGCTGAACCATCTTTGCTAGTAAAAAATTATGATGTACTTATAACACCTAGCCATAGAGTACAGTTTAAATTAGGCAACAGTATAAGACCTCATAGATCCTTCACGAACAAAATTATAACCAACTACTTCAGAAACCTATTCTATTCTCTGTTGTAGTTTAATTGCACAGATGCTGTTTTTGAGAACACAATTTCATTATCATCAATATATTTACAAATATAACATATAAATATCAGCTACCAAAATAAAATTTTGGGAGTCTAAGCAAGGCAAAAAAATGTTAAACCTAAACCTTGTTAAATCTTACATCTGTGTCCCACTTAATGATGTTTTTTTTTCAAAAGCTTCTTACATGCATATTGAAATTAATAACATAAACTGTTGACACAAAGATATGTCTCGTCTGTCGGCCAAAAATTTAGAAAAAGACAATCTGATGTACAGCAACATTGCTAATTAATTCAAAGTCGCTGAACCAACTAGTGGGAATGGCCTTGAAACAGTTGACCAACTGAGGTGTACATACAGCAATGTAACTTTATAGAAAATATTGTCTATTGTAAGTAGTTCCTATCAAACTAACTTAATAAAAAAACTTAACAGTGAAACTTGTTACTTGATTGAGTCATTGGACCATGACCTAGGGGGCAGGGTCTTGAAATAGTCCTCAAACTGATATGTACTGATAGTAATGCAACTTCATAGAAAATATCATTAATCTATCGCAAGTAGTTCATATCAAACTAACTTGAGCAGAAAACTTATCATTGAAAATTGCTAATTAATTGAAAGTCACTGAACCATAGCCTAGGGGGCAGGGCCTCAAAATAGTTGTCAAACTGATATGTAACTGATAGCAATGCAACTTCACACAAAATATCATTGATCTATCACCAGTAGTACCTATCAATCTAACTTAAGCAGAAAACTTAACATTTAAAATTGCTAATTAATTCAAAGTCACTGCCTAAGTCATGGCCTCAAAATTGTTGTCAAACTGATATGTACCGGTACTGATAGTAATGCATCTTCATACAAAATATCAATGATCTATCACAAGTAGTTCCATCAAACTAACTTAAGCAGAAAACTTAGTAATTGTTGACTCTGGAGCCGTCGCTGTCACACCAGAGGCAATCCCTGTGTCTTACTTTCTGCAACTTTCGTCGCAGGCAACAATAAACCATAGTCGTTAAATTGTGTTACTGAATACTTTGATCTAGTTTTAAGATGTGTTTGTGTTTAGACACATTTAATGTATAAAGCTAAAAAGAGCATTATAAAAGTTTGGCACAATAAATGATACATAAAAGTAACATTATCTGTCGACAAATGTCATAAAAATAAAAGACAAAAATAAAAATACAGAAATACTATAGCAAAAGATAAATAACAATACAGCTTATTTTTATGGCAACTTAACACTAGTTAAAATATTTCATGAATGTAACCAAAAATCACAATAAAATATGTTAAAGATACTGAGATTCATACTATTTTTTTTTTAAACCCAAGCAAAAAATAAGTTGATAAACAAAGATACATACAATAATATTTTTACAAAGTAAGTCTAACAAGTTGGGATGACATGGGACATTATTGTCTAGCTAACAAAAATATAAACAAAATCAAGTGATTGGTAAACACACACACAGTTGAAGTATTACCAATTATAGAAATGTTTTGAACAAATTTACTGAAAAACACCTCAAGATAAACAAGTCATATTGAATATAAAATATAAGCTATTGCTTTTGAAAAAATGAACAGCCATCAGTTTGTGCAAATACTTGGAGAGTGCTAAATGTTAACAGACCGGCAAAGAGGAATATGGGGTGAATGAAAATGAGACATTGTCTGTTTGAAAGTTGAAACATTTAAATTGTTTTTGTATATTCTTTGGAAAATTATGGTAGCTAGACATTCTTATCTTAAGCATTATAATCTTTGAATTATTTGCCAAAAGTAGTTTTTTCCATACTGTTTTTTGCAGTGAAAAAAGTTAGTTACTTTCAGTAAAAACAAATACCAACAGTTTTGATATCCATGATGGCTGCCACAATTTTAGATCCCCTAAACATATTGAAAGTAAATCATAACGAATTTTACATTTATATGTATTGTTTAGGCTACTTATATTTAATATAAATGTAAGTTGTGTTTAATGTGTTAAGTAAAAATGTTGAAAAACGTTCTCTAAAGTAATTTTTATTCAAATGATATTTCAGCTGTGTTTTTGTTTTAACATCATTTGTGTGTACTTGTGTCCTATAATTTATCATTCAAGAACAAAGTTTGGATTAAATTCCTTTTTCTTGAAAAAGATCAAAATATCCTAACACAAATAAGAAAATAATTATAAACATATCAAAGGCCATCACATATGAAAAATACATATAAAAAATAGTGATATATGTAATGATATGCTTGAACAATCACAAAAATACAAGGACGGATTCTTGGAGCTTACATACAAACAGACAGAAATACTTTTAAATAACACACAAGTCTAACAAAGCAGTTTTAGTTTCAAAAGATTTTTTTTTAATATAAGGTCATTGGTTTTTCTTCTTCTTTACATGTATAAAATTTTGATTTCTTTTCATAATCAAAAGAAAATGTTCTTACAAATAAGACCCCAGAAGGCACTTTTATCAAAATTTGATGGGTGTTGGTTATTTTAGACAAAAAGCCTAAACAAATATATGAAATAATCAATTAAAAATTTTATGCATGGCAGGGTTGTATAAAAAGTGCTTTCCGACCCCATACATTTATTTCTGGCTTCAGCAAAAAATTTGCCCTCAGGAAAAATTCGTTCAAAAACTGATAATTTTTTTTTTGTATTGTCTAAATACACTTGTTTTTTTGGAGGTAGAATGTTCATGTTGGATATGTCTTCACTTTATTGCTACCATTTAGTTGTTGTTTGTTGAAACCTAAGTTAAAAACAATAACATTGCCATTCATCATAATAATTTAAGTTGTGATATCATCCCTAACAATTTACGTAAGTCATAAAAAGTACAGTGAAACCAGATCAAACTGAACCCTGAGTAATCTGAACATCCTTCTGATTGAACTCACTTAAAACAAAACAAAAATAAAATCTTCATGTTATTTAATCTTTTCTGTTCAGACAAGTTTCACTCTGTATCATATATCTCATAACATTTAAACAATACTGGAGAGGGGCACAAGTTACAGCACTATGCAAATAAATAACATATTTCTTTATATCATTAACTTTTGCTTAAATCTACAAGGGCCATTTTTTATAAACAATTTAACTCTACCTATTGCTCAGTTACTGTTTAAGGCACCACATAACATATTGCTATTTTCAAATATATTTTATAACTTGAAATTACTGAAAATCATCAAACCTTTTTAAAAACTGTTTAATAAAAGAAGTATTTTCGATTTATTTACCTGAGTCATAATCTTTCAAACTGGAAAATCAATTTAGGACTTTGGAAGGAATCTAAATATTCTGAATATCATTTCTTTACTTCCTGGCAGAGTGTTTTCATTGAGTAAAATTTATTTTTAATCTTTAGAAATATAAAAATAGAAACAACCATTCAATAAAGTTTTTTTTACATCAGATATATAAATAGTAATATTGTCAATATACTGAAAAATAATCCATTATCCCAAGTACACCTATATATACAATCTCATACATTAACTGATGAATGCAATAGATATGGACTAAAGAATTATTTTTAAATGAATTAATAGGTGCCTTTATTATTAGTGCAGAGTTATAGCTAATATATCTTCTTTTTTTACTTCATGTACTGTGGGTTAATTCATTTTCATGGATTCAGAAAAAAATTGCACGGTACCGAATATTTGATTTTGCGGTTTTCCAAAGTCAGCATGCAAGCCTATAGAAAAGTTTTACTTTGTTTAACAGTTGTTTTTTTTTTATAGAAATTACTTTGAATTATTCAATTTATATTATTTGCGATTTAAGTGCAAAACATGGAAGAAAATTTAAATTCTACTACCTGCAAAGTTTTCTGAAGTTGGATAACAATCTCAGTCGAAACAATGTATGAATCCACAGTATTCTAAATATGTGCCTTAAACATTTAATACATATATACTTGATATGTCATCCAAGCTACAAGCTTTGGTCCATCAGGTCTATATAGTTTTTCAGATATTCTAAGAGTCAAACACCTTCTTATAAATTTTAGACAAAATTTACATTAATATAGCTTTAGAAATCACACAGTTACAATCATGACAATTTCTTATATATCAAAAACATATTGGGTTGTATCAGTAAGAATTTGTCTCTTTCTCTTGTAACAATTGTCAAACATTCATACTAAACCATCTCTCTCACATTCACACATGTTCCATAGTACCAAAAGCAGCTAGGCTTTATCCATCAAATCTAATAAATCATCATTGTCGTTGGAGGATCCTTCGTTTACTGCTAATTCTCCCATAATTCTACTTAATTCATCATTCTTTTGTTTCTGAAATGTTACAAAAATTTTTTACAAATCTAAATAATATGCAGTATTATAAAAAAAATCGTAAGGGTTCCACGGAACCCAGTGTCTCGCCTACTTTTGCTGTTAATCGCAGGCTCAACAAAAATGAGGAAGAAAATTAATAAAAATATTCCTCTCTATACTATCTTTTGATTGTTAGTAGCTTCTGTCCAAGTTTGGTAAAAATCCAGGATAGTTTATGAATCTAATAAATGTTTTAAAAACTTAAACTGCAGACTGTATGTAATGTTAACTGGAAGAAAAACTAAGTCCATTTATAAGTAAAATAAGGAAAAAATGGAATTAAATTTTAACAAAATTTCCTTCTAGATACTAGCTTTTAATCATAAACAAGCTTCTGTCCAAGTTTGGTACAAATCCAAGATAGCTTAAGAAAGTTGTTAAAATTTTAAAAACTTTAACCACAGAGTGAATGTAATGTTTCCTGGCAGAAAAACTAAGTCCATTTATAAGTAAAATACGGAAAAAATGTAATTTTTTTTTACAAAATAAATTTACTTTTGGATATTATCTTATGATCATAAACAAGCTTCTGTCCAAGTTTGGTAGAAATCCAGGATAGTTTAAGAAAGTTATTAAAATTTCAAAAACTTTAACCATAGAGTGAATATTTTTTTTTATTAAAATTTCAAAAACTTTAACCACAGAGTGAATATTTGTGGACACTGATGACGACGATGGAATGTAGGATCGATATGTCTCGCTTTTTCAACAAAAGTCGAAGGCTCGACAAAAATGCACACAAAGTTTTATACTTTTTTTATCATGCAATCATAGGTGTGAGGTTATGTCAGAGGACAAATATATTTAATAAAGAAAAGGTTGCTCAGATAGATAATTAGGATTCGGATATTTAACAACAAAAGTATTTCAACAGTTTTTTTCTTAATAAAAGTCAACAGTTCACATTTACAAATGCACAGCCAGACTAGTTATTTAAGCAAAGATACATGCTTATTTATCATGCTCTGTGGTAAGAAGAAGCCGCAAGTAAAATAAAATTAAACAAACAAAAAAACTGCACCAAAATAAATTCTGTACACACAGATATTGTGAAAGTGCAACACATCTATTTCATGGAGTATAAGAACAACTATTTACCACATCTTTAGTTACTTGTAACTTCAGAGATTAGTTAAAGCAAAAATATGGCACAAATTAAGTTGTTAAATACAAAAGTATATGAAATACTGGTAAATGTATCTTCATAATACCTACTGAAACAAACTTATGCATTCTTTTAATATAAGTAAAAGTTTGTCTCAAAACATTTTCTACTAAAAATGTAACTGCCAATCAAAACTGCAGAAAAGATCTCTAATATAGTTGTGCAATAAACTTTTTTTTGCCATTCTAACTTGAAGAAATAAGTGATGATTCAAGACATCTATTTAAACATTCACTAATGCTAAAAGGAATTGCTTTACCAAGTAATTGCTTGCTTGATAATTGGGAATTGATTTCTATGCATTCATATCAAATTTTAATGCCATTATTTTCTTGGTGGATTAAAGTAGAGTTCAAAGATAAACTCCCAACCTCTTGTGAGTAACTTACAGAATCTTATTACCTAGATTATGTGTACCTTTTCAATCTTAAACAAGAATGTGTCCATAGTACATGGATGCCCCACTCGCACTATCATTTTCTATGTTCAGTGGACCGTGAAATTGGGGTCAAAACTCTAATTTGGCATTAAAATTAGAAAGATAATGTCATAGGGTTCATGTGTACTAAGTTTCAAGTTGATTGGACTTCAACTTCATCAAAAACTACCTTGACTAAAAACTTTAACCTGCCCACTCACACTATCATTTTCTATGTTCAGTGGACCGTGAAATTGCAGTCAAAACTCTAATTTGGCATTTAAATTAAAAAGATCATATCATAAGGAACATGTGTACTAAGTTTCAAGTTGATTGGACTTCAACTTCATCAAAAACTTGAACCTGAAGTGACCAAAAACTCTAAGCTGAAGCGGGATAGACGGACGAACGGCCGGATGGAAGAACGGACACACTGACCTAAAAACATAATGTCACTAGGTGGGGCATAAAAAGACGAAGCCAAGCTTGACCCCTATTACAGTTGTGCAAAGGTGAATAATCTATAAAAATATGACCAATTATCCAGACCACACAGCCTCATCAAATGAATATTTTATATCTTAAACGAACCAGTGAGGGAAAAACAATATTTGACTATATTACAAAACACTATTTCTGAATAATACCTTGGAAGCATCTATTTTGACTACTTTAGATTCAGCTAATTCTATAGGCTTCATTAATGCAGCTTCAGCTTGTCTGTAAATAAATAATACAAATATTGGCAAACTTTTAAATAGATTAAAATTTAAAATAAAAATATATTGGTAAGCTGTTGTTACATATTTGTGTACATATTTTTAACTATTGGCTCGAAAGTTGTTTTTTGTGGTACACAGATTGAAAAAAAAAAAATCTAGGGTTTTTACATGAAAAAAAACTTTTGCTAGTAAAGCTGACCTTGACATATAAAATCTTAATGATCAAGAATGTCTTTCCATCACAATAACCTATATTTGTGTACATCTAAAGATTAATATAACAATATACAGTTTAAAAGAGATAAAATAGATTAATTAATTTAATGGCTGCTCAATGTTCAGCTGCAAATTTATTCCTAAATGCCAGCAGCAAATACCAATCACTAATTCTTTTGGTTGAATTTTCCAGGGAATTGAATCCATGACCTCCACAACACCAGACGAGCCTGAAACAAAACTGCAGAAGAAGTTCAAAGGAAGAAGTTAGTTTTGTGAGAGACAAGGATATGGATTAATTTCAATGCAACCCTAGACTTTGCTTTCAAAGGGTATTCTCATCGACACATTATGACATAACATTATCTCAATATCATTTCAGTCAGTTAAATCAAAACCTTACTCTTCTTCTTTGTCTGTTTTAAATAAATTCAATCTGATTTCTGATTTATTACTTGCTGTTTTACTTCCTATCAGTTGTGATAATAAATCTAATTGGGCTTTGGCTAAAGGATCAGGTGTACTGGATTCCTATAAAAAATAAAGTTACATTATTATAATTATAATATTTTTTTTCATTAGAAGTAAAGCTATAATTCAGAAAAAAATATTTACCAGAGAGAACAATCTGATCAAAATACAAATCATGTGTCTAAGCTTTGCTTACAAGTAATAATCTGACAAAACCAGAGGATCCCGAAAGGTATGTAAAACAGCACTCTCAGATCCTTGTAAGCAAAGCTTGAAAAAACAGGATCTGTATTTTTCAGATTAGAGAGAAGCGAATGCTTTTTTATTTACTTAATTATGAATCAATATGCAGTCCTCTTAATAAGTTTACTGAAGCTTGATTTTAAATGAAAAATAAGTAATTTGAATGAAGAAGGTAGTTCATTAATTCTAAAAGTAACCAAATTCTGTTATAAATGCAAAAACATTGTAATATTGACCGGATGAAACTTTAAGGCTGAAAGATATCAAATTTAAAAACTTGGAATCAAACCAATGAAGCCATGTGAGTTATGTTTTCCATTTCTAACAATACTCACTATATCTGAACTGGTTGTTGTTCTTGTCGACCCTGTCGTTTCTACTGTTCGTGATACAGAATACCTAAATAAAAAATATAGCTTGGTAAAAAAAAAAATAATTGCCTATAAAAAATTTATCAAAAATCCCTTTAATGCTTCATTCTTTAATTCACTTTTTCAATTATTTTAGTATAAAAATTTGTAAGGGTTCTGCGGAACCCGGTGTCTTGCCTATTTTTGCTGTTAATCGCAGGCTCAACAAAAATGAGGAAAAAAATTAATAAAAATATTCCTCTCGATACTATCTTTTGATTGTAAGAAGCTTCTGTTCAAGTTTGGTAAAAATCAAGGAAAGTTTATGAATCTAATAAATGTTGCAGGCTGTATGTTATGTTAACTGGAAGAAAAACTGAGTCCATTTATAGGTAAAATACGAAAAAACAGGTACAAAATTTTAACAGAATTTCCTTCTGGATACTATATCTTATGATCATAAACAAGCTTCTGTCCAAGTTTGGTAGAAATCCAGGATAGTTTAAGAAAGTTATTAAAGTTTCAAAAACTTTAACCACAGAGTGAATGTAATGTTTCCTGGCAGAAAAACTAAGTCCATTTATAAGTAAAATACGGAAAAACCAGAATTTTATTTTTTTAAATTTACTAATGGATACTATCTTATGATCATAAACAAGCCTCTGTCCAAGTTTGGTAGAAATCCAGGTTAGTTTAAGAAAGTTATTAAAATTTCAAAAACTTTAACCACAGAGTGAATATTTGTGGACGCCGCCGCTGCCGACAACGATGGAATGTAGGATCGCTATGTCTCGCTTTTTCGACAAAAGTAGAAGGCTTGACAAAAAGGAAAAGTAATTTGTTTCCAACAAAGACAGTTCATACATACTATCTGTACAAAGAACTTCAAACAAAATATGCTTTAATCAATAATTTTTTCAGTAAAAACAGTTATAACTTTGAAAATTTTGAACTCTGCAAACAAAGGTTTCAATGCAACAAACTTAACTTAATATGAGGCCAACATTGAAAAATTGTTTCTTTCCTCAAACCTGGTGACCTTTTCAAATAAATTGTCATTTTCATGTTTTCTGTCATTGTTTAACAGTTCTGACAGCTGTATATTCAAGTGGAATTAATTCATATATTCTGCTTTATCAATAAAATGTTTGCAAAACTGATCTTAGAAAGCATTTGGCTACCATTCTGTGCAGTGTGCAGGTATAAATCTTCCTTTATCAGAACATTCTTTGCTCAATAATCAATAGAGGAAAAAATATATACAATAAAACTGATTTTTCAAGGTGTGTCAGAATTGGGGAAACAAACAATATTTCATTTTTATGTCTGACTTACAAAATGAACTAAAACAACCATAAAATAACTTATATAGTAAGAAATCAGATAAACATTTGTCAAACACTTACTCACTAAAATTAAAAGAACCTGTCATCCTTGAATATATTAATTATATTTGAATAAATTTCTGTTGTAAACAATTCAAACAGATTCATTTGTATTAAAAATAAATTATTCATATGATTACTGTTTTTACCTCTGACAACAAAATTGTGCTTCAAATAGAAAAACTCTCTCCTTGCCCATTAGAACTATATATCCTATAGATATGTAGTTTTTTTATCCCAATAAAACTGTAGACCTTATAGATATTTGTTGTTGAAAAAATTGTTCATCATAGATTTATTTTTTTTTGTTTTTTGTTTTTTTGGCTGAAAAAAATATATAGAATAATTGTATTTTTGATTTTTGATACCGACTTTATCAGCAACCTTGCAAGGGTGAGCTGATATTCGAGCTGATGAAGTCAGTATAAAAAAAATAAGTTGCCATTATTCCGATAAAACAATTTTTTTTTTTATTAGAGAAAATGAAATAGAATGAAGTAATGGTAAGTATTTTTATGTGAAGAAAACAGTGTGATAGTTGTTTGGTTGCATGTTTGAGGTCAAGTGCATTTCGTTGATAAATTGACGATAAATTACATATTGATATATTTTTGTACTAAAAAACTGCACATTACAAAAAAATATTTTTTGTTTTGCTCACTTAAACTATATCATATACTTATTTGCTCAAAGAAACCAATTGGTCAAATCTTTGTCCTTTTATCTTTTATGGCTAGTTGTCTTATTGGCAATCCAACCACATTTCCTTATTTTCATACATGTCATATACATTTAATCTTATTTATCGAGAGAAGTGCATATCAAGCTGATTTTTTGCTGCGCAACAAACTGTAAATCATATAGTATGTTTTTTGTTTTGTTCAATAGAACTCCACTTTAAAAATTCCCTTCTTCATTCAATAAAACTCTTGATCAAATATATTTACTTTTCTTTAATCAAACTCATTATCAATTCCTATAGTTAAATTCTTTTTGCTGAATTAAACTACTGGTATACTGTTTTATTGTATCTTTGGCAAAATAAATGTATAGCACATCTAGCTAACGTTATACTTGAAGCTTTGTTGTATTTCTAATCAGAGAACTTACAACATTAACTTACATATTTGTTCCTAATTTTGTAACTCTACTGCCTTTCATGTCAAATGACCCTTCACCTTGTGACCCTTGATATGATCCTCCAGGGGTGAACTGTAATGTTTTAATTTCATTGCCATTTTCATTATAATAACTGAAAAAAGAACAAAATAATCAAGTTTGAAACTGTGAACTTATGACATGTTTTAAAATTTTAAATGGTATTTTAATTCATTATAATTGACTTGAACTTCTAATAAATCATATGAATTTATTCATAGTCAATCTATATGCTTTACATTTATATTTCATTGTATTTCATGAGGGCCTCAGGGAAGATTAGTTTTATAGCTAACTGTGTAACCCTCTTTAAATAAAGAATTATTATTATTATTATTATTATCATTACATTGAATAAAAAGCAATAAATCCATTGTAAAAACAGAAATACTACAACGCCAAGTATCAGATCTGAAAATCGTTATGCTAAATCCTTGATATTTGACTTCAGATGCTAGCAAAAATGAAGCTATATTCTCCAATGCTATCTTTATTAATGTTTAAACTGGACCTTCATCTCAGACTTGACCTTAGAAAGGAATGTTATTGGACACCAACTTAAAAGAAGGAAACCACTCTTACCAAATAAAACATTGTTAAATAAAAAATTGTTTTTGACAAAATAACGTACAAATGAAGTTCAGATGAAAGAGGAAAATTACATCTCTTTTGATATATGACCTTGAAATCTCTTTGTTACTCCCTGTCTTTGCAAATAAATATTTATCTTCTCAGAACTGTGTATATAAGCTGATGTTAAATCCTTTGCTCTTTATTGTGTTTACAATATTCTGATATAAGACTATGACTTTTGACCATGTGAATCAATAGGGATCCTTTTCTTTGTGATTCTTTAAACTTAGTTTAATGACAATTGACAGTCATTTGATGAGTAATTGTTGCCATACTAAGTCTGGCCTTAACAAATTTTTTTATGGTTACAATGTGTTCCATACTTAATATTCCTTTGCCACATATGAACCATTCAATTCACTATTTGAGTATGTCTTTATTTGTTGTATTTTAGCAATAAAAATTTCCCCTGATGAGTTTTGATTTCATTTGTATCTCTTTTTTTTTTAAATTTGATAGGACTGAGTAAAATGACATAATTGTACAAACCGTATAAGACCAGGAGTTTCTGTTCCATGAGGTAAACTTCCTGCTGTTGGTAAAACAAATCTACCATTACTATTTTGCACTTTGTCTTTAAGAAAAATTGATACCTAAAATAGAAAGAAGGGAAAAAGAATTATTTATAACATCATGTGGCAACTGCATGGTCAGGAATAAGTGATATCCTACAGTCAAAGAAATACTTCTCACCATCAAAGCCATAATGCCATAATGGCATGTTATTGGAGAAACTTGTCTACACAAACTCCAGAGTCAAAATAATTGTAGGTAAGCCTAGAGCTCATACAAACATCCATCCACTCCCCCCCCCCCCCCAAAAAAAAAAAAACTCAACCCAAAAAACTATAATTCTTTTCAGATGTAAATATTTGAATACCAATTTATATCTTCCTTATGAGACCTGAATGAGGATAGCTGGTAACTTGACTATTTTTCTTTATTCATACTGTTATATAACTGCTTGCTAATTTTTCAATCATTGTTTGGGAGTAGAAAAGTGTATTGCAGAATATGCCCCCCCAAAAAAGGGGAATTCCTGCACATTGCTCCAAAAATAGCACAGCCTGTAGGCTTCACAACTGTCAATTTCTTGAAGAGACTTCATATTGTTGAAAAGTATATTGAAAAGGGCAAATCTTTTAAAAATTATCTTCTTAGCTGTCAGATTCCTGTTTTCAACACTGATCTCCAACTATCTTATTCCTTTAGAAACCTAGTGCTGAAACAAAATTATATATCTAGTATAGGCCCTATAACATATAATGTTATATCATAGTAACAGAGTTGTGCCAGCTAAGATTTAAATCAATATAGTTGTTTTTGAGACATGGATTGAGTTATATTCTATGAATTAGAGATGAACAAACTTGAATACACCATTTCACCTCCTGCAGGTCTCCTCTATATCTTCTCATATATTCATGGATACCTGGCACAATGGCTAGAAGTACTCTTCAACATGCATCATTATTTACCTTTAACTTCTTATAATTCATCATATTTTGTGTTACCTACTGTCCATTTTTCTAACACAAAATGAATACTTTATTCTAAAAAAAACATGTATTATTCAGACAGAGGAAAATCAATGGAAATTTAAATTTGATATACTTTCTGAATAGATTAAAAATAGATCAATAAATGTTTAAATTTTAACTGACAAATTAAAATAATCCTTTAAACCTATCTAAACATTCATACAGAGGTGCTTTAACTGGCACTGATTTAAGGCTATTTAGATATGCTTTTTTCAAATGTTGTATTTTGTGATATTTTCAATTTATAGAAATCAATTGCGTACAAGTCAAGCTACTTTTTTTTTCAATTTTGGAAAAAAATTGATAATTTTAATTGTCTTTCAAGTTGTTTATGCATTAAGTAATCAACGTATAAAGAAAGTTTCTCTATCATATCAACAAGCATTTAATTGTTGTAAAACTTGTGTCTCATCCTTTCATATTGTTTATGAACAATAAAATATGTTTAAACTAACTACCAACAAGGACTGCTTGTGAAAAAATATTTGTGTGTTATACAAACATTAAATAGATCCGATGTGTAAGAAAACACTTGTTTGTTACCATGATCACAAAATATTTCAAGGGTTTTAAACAATGTATCTATAGATTGCACTAAGCCTTGAACGTAGAGATAAAATTCAAAATACTGCAATTTTTCAATTATGTTATGTTAACTATGGGGTCAGGTACCAATATCCCCTCTGAAACCATTAGCAAGACACAGGCTTTTTTAAAATATTGCATTACTCGTAACAATATAAAAATAGCACATGTATAATAGATTACTATAACTGTTGACAGTTTGAATAATGCTGAATTTAAGATTTCTAAATACACTGTACCTATATAAATGATTATTTTTGGCCTGCACAGTATACTAAATTCAATTGCTGGATGGAAGAGTTAAATTTTCCAATCTGATACATATAATCACATGCATTCTTATTTCAACAAGAGTCCACACGCTTAAATGTCTCACCTGCTTTACTGACCATTGATTTTATGCTGATAGTCCTAAATATAAAGTTTTTACTACAAGTATCACATAAACTTAACATGATCAAAGAAAATGAGGTCAAGGTCAGATAAACCAAGCAGAAATAAATGTACACCTTAAAATCATTCCATACACCAAATATAGTTGACCTATTGCTTATAGCATACAAGAAGCAGACCAAACCATGAAAACTTTATATTGAGCAAAAAACCATGAAAATGAGGTCAAGGTCAGATGAACCCTGCCAGACAGACATATACACCTTACAATCATTACATGCTTTAAATATAGTTGACCTATTGCATATAGTATCTAAGAAACAAACAAACTTTACCAAGAAAACTTAACATTGACCAATGAACCATGAAAATGAGGTCAAGGTCAGATGATAACTGCCAGACAGACATATACACCTTACAAACATTCCATACATCCGATATAGTTGACCTATTGCTCATAGTTTAAGAAAAACAGACCAAAACACAAAACTATACATTGAGCAATGAACCATAAAAATGAGGTCAAGGTCAAATAAAACCTGCCAGACTGACATGTACATCGTAATATATTTTCATACACCAAATATAGTTAACCTATTGCATACAGTATTAGAATAAACTGTTAACACAGAGATATGTCTTGCCTATTTGTTATTTTGATAATGCAAATGTTGAAATTAAAATAGCAATACTTTAACATGTAAGTTATGCAAATATTCAAAGTCAATGAACCATGACTGAAGGTACAGGGCTACACAATCTCCATGGAAATGAAATGTGCCAATGCTAATACAACTGCATACCAAATACCATTGACTTTTCATAAGCCATTCCGTTTAAACAAACCTAAACACAATCATTAACTTGTAAAAAATGTAAAAATTTCAAAGTCAATGAACCATAATGAGGAGGTGGGGTTATATACTCTCCATGGAAATGAAACTTGCAAATGCCAATACATTTGCATACCAAATATCATTGACTTAACATTAGTGGTTCATCTTAAATTGACCTAATCACAAACTAATACATGTAAACTAAACAAAAGTTTCAAAGTCAATAAACCATGACTGAGGGGGCGGGCCAAATAATCTCCATGGTAATGAGATGTGCCAATGCTAATACAACTGCATACAAAACATCATTGACCTACCACTAGTGGTGCCCCATAAACTGACCTAATCACAAACTAATACATGTAAACTAAGCAAAGTTTCAAAGTCAATAGACCATGACTGAGGGAGCGGGGTCAAATATTCTCCATGGTAATGAGATGTGCTAATGCTATTACAAAAAAAATATCATTGACCTACCACTAGTGGTTCACCATAAACTACACCTAATCACCAACTAATACATTGTTGACGCCACCGCCACTGCAAACAACGACAACAGACACAGCATACCTATGTCTCGATTTTGACTCTGTCAAGGCAAGACAAAAACTTAACTTTAACCATTGAACCATAAAATGAGGTCAAGGTCAGATGAAACCTGCCTATTGGACATGTACACCTTACAATCATTCCGTACACCAAATATAGTAGACCTATTGCTTATAGTATCTGAGATATGGACTTGACCACAAAAACTTAACCTTGTGCACTGATCCATGAAACGAGTTCGAGGTCAAGGAAAAACTGTCTGACAGGCATGAGGACCTTGCAAGGTAGGCACATACCAAATATAGTTATCCTTTTACTTATAAGAGAGAAATTAAGAATACTAAAAATCTTAACTTTTTTTTATAGTAGTCACTGAACCATAAAAAAGGGGCCAAGGACAATGGACATATGACAGACGGAAACTTCATAAATAAGGCATCTATATACAAAGTATGAAGGATCCAGGTCTTCTACTTTCTGAAATATTAAGCTTTTAAGAAGTTTGATAACGTCCCGCCGCCAGATCACTTTCCCTAAGTCTCGCTTTCTGAGATAGAAGACGCAAGCTGGACAATAAAAACTTTAAAATTTGACAGAGATGAAATAAAATTGGTAATATTCAGATAATTTTTAAGTGAATTTCATCTAAGTATTTTGGCAATTTTGAATATGAACAGCTCGCACTGAAATCAAAATACATCTACACGGTTGGAGAAAAAAATAGTAATATGTATCTGCAAGACTGGAAAGGTTCTATATATAGTTAGGCAGGAAGTCATCAGTGAATATCAAATCATTCAGTTAGTGCAATACAGGGCAAAAAAAAGAGTGCAATACAGGGCAAAAAAAGAGTGCAATACAGGGCAAAAAAAGACATATTTCTGTTTAACACCTTAAACAAAACAAAAATACAAAAATATTTTTGATTGTATCTTCTTGACCAACAGTCTGCAGCTTTGCTGGCTAATTAGATATTACTTAGTTGCATGAGCATAAATTTTTGTGTTCTGTAGACTGGTCTGCCATCTTTCTTGAAATTTAGAATTTGCAATTTTAAGATCTAAACTACTGCCTGGAGTCATATCATGATGTGTTAAGTTTGAAACTTGTTTCTTATTCAAATGGAAGTACCTCTTCTTTTTCTATTGTGTTATTTTGTAATTAATATTATCTCTACAAAGAATCAATATGCTTTTATGTTACTGGGATCAAGGAAAAAAAAAATAACCAAGTGATTGTAATATTGGTGATGTACATTTCTGTATGAAGTCAATATCTGATATCAATACAATTATCTCATACATTTCCTGTAAGACAACACCAATGAAATTAATAATTGTTAAGGCAAAGTTACTCGTTCATTTATTCTGGACACTGATTAGGCATAAAAATATCTCGAGCAATTATGACTAATGGGTTGAGACAGCACTGTAATCTTTAATTTGTGTGAAAGCATCCAATTTAATCCCAGAAAGCAATGCATAAAGAAATAGCGATAACTATATGTATGTTGTATTTGTGAAGTATTGAGTTTTGCAAATGAACTAAAAGCAATGTTTTTCATTGACCCATACATATCTAAATTACAAACCATGAATGAAAGTTCCTATTTAAAGATCAGTTTTTCACAATTTTCTTGAAAGGGCATCCATGAATAACAAAATTTTTTTCATCATGTAAAAATAAGTTGAACAACAGTTATTATTTCATTATATATAATACCAATGGCTATTTGACATTTCATTATATATAATACCAATGGCTATTTGACATTTCATTATATATATAATACCAATGGCTATTTGACATTTCATTATATATAATACCAATGGCTATTTGACATTTCATTATATATAATACCAATGGCTATTTGACATTTCATTATATATAATACCAATGATTATTTGACATTTCATTATATATAATACCAATGGCTATTTGACATTTCATTATATATAATACCAATGGCTATTTGACATTTTATTATATATAATACCAATGGCTATTCGACATTACAGTTCATGCTTTAGTGCAAATAGGGAATACATGCCAGGAAAAATATAATCAAATTGAAGAATTCCCAACTACTGTGGATTCATTATAATTCGTTGGATACCAATTTTCATGGGTTTCGTGGGTACAGGTGAACCACGAAATTAAATGTTTGTATGCAGACATTGATGAAACCACGAAATACAGTATCCACGAAAATGCAAGTTTTTCTGGATCCACGAAAAGTGATACCCACGAAAATAAATGAATCCACAGTATAGTATGTAAGAAGAAATCTAAGCATGAATATAAATCCAAAACAAGAACTGAATTCTCTATTTTATCAGTAACGTCTCAACCTTAAACTGCTTGTTTAGCATTTTAATCATATAGTTTAATAAGAGTGAAATATATAAAGGCCATATAATAAGAAAGAGTGAGGTATATATAGGCCATATAATGAGACAAAGTTGCTTGTTTCAATAATAAAAAGAAGGCCATGGGTCAAAGGAAGGAATAGAAAAGGCAAGTATGGTTATTAAAGATATTCATATCACAGCTTAAATAATAAAGACCTTATTGCAGGAAAAGTAAATATAGAGGTCCTAAACAACTGTATTTCTATAAATATTAGAAAATCTCAAGATCAAAACTCAACTAATTTCTATAAATCTAAGGACCCCAAGTTCTCAGTTCATTTACATTCCATAAATCTGAAGACCCAAGTTGCCAATCCTTTTCCTCTCTATAAATCTATGGACCCTCCATTTCCAATCCCTCTGTAAATCCATGGACCCTCCATTTCCCAATCTATCTTTTTTAATAGACCCCTACAGTTCCCTTTCCATTATCTTTATATACATCTAAGGAACCCAAGTATCCTAAATTTTCAATCCATTCTTCATTAATTCCCATTTCCTAACCATCATCCTATACATTTACTTTAAAATACAACTTCAAGCACCTTTATACACACAATGTCCTACACTACATCAATATTTTCAAAGTGAATGCAGTGAAGACCTTTAAACAACAATTGAAACAAGCAACTTAGTCACGATTGGGAAGGTTTTGAATTGCATATAGGCAATTAAATATCATAACTTGAAACAATTGAGATATAGCTTCATTCATAATTAATATGACACATTCAAGTACCTCTTCTGTCCAATCAGAGTTCAACTTAAGAAGGAAAGGTAATGTTATCACTGTATACAGTTAAAGTGGTTTTAAATACTATAAATGATTTATCATGTCTGAAGTAAGGCAGTCTAAACAAACTGGTTGAATATACCTAAAAATAATGCTACTGGTATCTTGTTTTGAAAATTAATTCCCTATGGCCTACTAAAACAAATTATAACTCAAGAAAGAAAGGACAAGGTGCCATAAGGTCAATTTTTAGGCACAATTAAACATCATGCATTAACCAGAAAAGACCCTGTTGAAGTTTCATATACTTCTGCAAAGGTTTGACAAAGTTGTTGATGTATGAAAAACTTGAAATTAATACAATATCTAAATGTTATCTGCTAAAAAAAATGAAAAACATTTATCAGTTAAACACAGAACAAAATTAAAACCTTGGCTGTATTTAAATGTTGACTGCCAAAAACTTAGTTCAACAATTAAAGTAATTTAAAAACAGATCACTGTTGGAAGTTAAAATTGCTCTAGTAGAACTCTATGTGTCAGATAATGCTACCTGCAACAACCTGTTTTACCTGAGCAACATTTCATTTCAACATCTAACTATTTTCAAAAATAGTTTGTAATGATTTTAATAAAATAGAAATAATGACTTGCAAGAAAATTGGTTGACACATGAATGATCCTATTTGGTATGGGTTTGCTAATTGTTGAAGGCCTTGTCCTATTGTCTTTATAGACAGTTGTCTCATTGGCAATCATTACAAATCTCTTTGCTTTTATCTGACAATAAAATCATTCTAACAAAAGACATTAAATAGCATTTTATACAAATTATCTTAACGATTCAGCATTGATTTTCAATTGTAGACAGTAAGCAAATTTAAATTGAGATTAGTACACCTTAGGGAAAATCAATCATAACTTCCATTTTCACATGTTATCTAATATTTGAAAATGTATACATCATCAGTTTGAGATGTATTCTTTTCAAATATTAATTTTTAAAAATTTTTAGCTAAAAGAATTCTTATTTGATTTCTTGTCTCCTGTGTTGTCTCGGTAATGAATCAATCAGGTAAAATTTATGGAACATTACCTGAATTTCAATGATTCAATCAATTCAAGGTAGAAGTCTGCTATACAAATATCATCAGAAATCCAAGGCAGCACATCTCCAGGGACATTTAATCATTGAAAATATTTCAAACAACGTAATTTTTGAATTATTAATTAATTAGTGAGCCTGATAGGATACTGTTGAATAACAACAAATGACAATGATAACTAAGTAATGAAACTATCAGCAAAGATGTACAGTAATAAGTTAAAAGTACTTACACAGTAATTAGTTAAAAGTACTTACACGGTAATAAGTTAAAAGTACTTACACGGTAAAAAGTTAAAAGTACTTACACGTATATGCATATCTTGGAAAAAATTAAGTAATGTTTGTCTAATCAGTTGATATTCTCCCATGCTTAATGATGCAAAACTCTGAAAATATATAGGACACAATGAAAGACACAGTAAAAAAGTCTTGTATTCGAAATAATACAGAAGCATTATAAGTGGGCAATAAAGGAAAAATAACACTCTCATATCAATAACTAAACATACCAAACTATAAGTTGCTGAATACGAAAGATTCATTTTTAAACATTTTTTCAAAATTTTTTTTACATAATGCTAAATATCTCTGACTTTTACATCCAATGGGAAATGGATAACAGTATTGTTGCTAACCATTCAGCAGTTCAGTGGCCATAACGGTTAAAAGTAATAGGGGGTGTTTAACGACCTGGACTACCCATGAGGGTCTCAAACGGTCAGCTCTTTCAGTCTTACTTATTTATACTCTACAAAGCAACTGACTCAGACATCATCAAACTTGTAAGACCTACATGTATCTAGGTACAAATCAGGTAAAATACATTTACCTTTTTGACTGGAATTTTCTCCAATAGTCAAGAATAGCATTTGATAAGACAATAATTGTCAATCTGTTTGACCAGAAATCAGTAATATTTGAGATGTTTAGCAATTGAACAAATGGAAAATGATAAATCATAGAGCAAACACTATCTTGGGGTTCTAACTGAAGTAACATCTGGTAAAGACTGCAATAAGCATGATGGTATTAAACTAGACGATTAAGAATCTAAAGGGTTATGTGTAATTTCATTGTTTTTACACCAAAATAAAAATTATGTTGTCATTGGTTGAATATCAATTCTTTAAGAGGCTTGTCACCATCACAATATTTTGGTATACAGTTTCAAAAATGTTATACAGACTGCATTTGATAAGTTTCATGGAAATAGTCTAAAGGAAAGATATCTTTACATGAAAATTATACTTACTTCCATTAATAACCTATATACATGATCTAACTGTTGTCTTATTTCTGCAGCATCACCAACAAAATTTCTCATGGCATCCAGATGATTCAGTGTAACTAATATTATATCTCTAGGTTTAAGGCACATGGATACTTGGTATTTAAAGGCCATTGTCATTAAATCATAAAGCTAGGGAAAAAAGTCAATGTCTGAATTAGTAGAAATTAAAAAAAATATCTGGTCATATCATGCTTTCTTACTGTATTGAAAATGATCAGTATTAAAATTCATTCTTATGTTCTATTTGTAGTAACAGTAACCCTTGCTGGTTGGGCAGCAAAGATTGCCAAACATACCTTTTAAGGTAGTATGGGAGTATAAAGTTAAAGAATTGTTATAAATTGAAACAATAAAATCTATATTGTACTGCTTTCAAAAATTAAAGACTGAAGGGTAACTTTGCTTGTTTTCAACCTACAAGCTGTGCAACATTCTCATATTGTGTCAGGACTATACAAGACAAAAAGCACTATTGTGTTTATTTGTAAAAAATGTTATTCCACGAAATTCTTCCTATAAATGAAAATTTCCATAAATTAATTGTATTTTCACATTAACATTTGCTAATTTCAGCAAACATCTGGAATTATCATTTTGGTCATGATGTGTCAATACTCCCATACTACATTAGTAGATTGATTAATTGATTATTGATTGATGTCTTATCAGCACCAAACAGCTTCATCATGAAAATATCATAAGAAAACCTTCTGTAAATGATTTAATTCAACTTCCCTCCTAATAAGTCTAGTTGTTTAATTTAGTTTTCATGAAGTATTACATGTTTATTAAACAATTGCAACTACAAAGAATACAATGTACCAAGCAAGGTTTCTTGAAATGGGACTTATATATATATATATATATATATATATATATACAAATCTAAATTGAAATCAATATATATACAAGTCTAAATTGAAAACAAAGTTCAAACCAATGATTGCGTTGGATAAAAACCGCAATTTTAATATGTGTGCATGCAAAACAAATTTCTTGGTAGAGGGGTCTAAATACAGCACAAACAACATTTTCCAAAAGACCAAAAAGGTGAGAGAATATATTCTAACAAATATATATATATATATGAGTTCGAATCCCGGCCAGGGAAGAACAAAAAATTTGCTTCCGCAAATTTACAGATCTAACATTGTTGGGCTGTTGTTTAGACGAATAATATATATGATAATATATGCATAGTAAGTCTGGTAAACAGTTATTGTAAGTCGATGTTTCAAACTGACCTTGTCCATACTGGCAGCATTAAGCCTCATAATGGAAGCATGGGCTAGTCTGTCAAACACTGTTCTCATGGCTTTCTTGGAATATAAAGGCTGAGGCTTAAATAATTCATCCATAAATCTTTTGTGAAACATTGTTGCAATAATATCATGCAGAACTGAAAAAAAAATTAATAGATTCAGAGATTTCACTTGTAGCCAACTCTAATGCTATATAAACTAAGCAATATTCTAAATAATGTTAAGCTGAAAAAAGTCAAAATAAAAAAGAAAACGGTTTTGGTTGTTGAAATCTCTGGTGTAGGTCTCACAATCCAATCAAATTATCTGACTGGTCCTTCTTGATTTAGTGTTGCGAATATACACATTATTATGAAATATGAAACAGATAATTGAAGATTAATTTTCAGAAAATAATCAGAATAGATCTTAAATTTTTCTTTGCATTTAAAAATTCTAATGATAATTCAGTTATACAAAGTTATTGTTTTCTACATAGTCTATCATGCATTTACTTTTTGTTTGATTTCTCCTAGGCAATTTACTTTAGTCTGATTTGGTCATCAAATTCTTAGAAATAATTCTTTTAAAATATTAAGTAAGATTGATCTGATCTGATCTTTGCTACAATTCAGACTCTTGCTATGGTTGTTAAGAACATTTAAAAAAAAATCAATTATTGAACATAACAAGACAAGTTGACTCACAAAAAAGGTAAAGTCTTTGAATGCTTACACTCGTTGATCTGCTGACAAATTTCAGGTAAAAATTTGTTGGCATTCCAGGAATAGTGTTTTTCTGCTTTGTATCGATCTGATGAGTTTAGACCTTTTCAACTGATTTTTATAGGGGGAGGGTTGGGCCTTCATACACATTTAACCCCGCCACATTCTATATGTGCCTGTCCCAAGTCAAGAGCATGTAGTTCAGTGGTTGTCTTTGGTTCATGTCTGTTATATTTGTTTTACGTAAATTGTTTTGTTATAAATAGGCCATTAGTTTTCTCAATTGATTTGTTTCATATTTTTTATGTCAGGGCCTTATATAGCCAACTACATGTATATGGTATGGGTTTTTCTCATTGTTGAAGGCCGTATGGTTGTCTATAATTGCTTACATCCACTTCATTTGAACATTGGTGGATAGTTGTCTCATTGGCAATCATACCACATCGCCTTTTTTTATATTAAAAGTACATTTGTAGTAAAAAAAAAAACAGTAACTAAAATGTTTGCAGGTAAGTTTAGTCTTCTAGTTAAGAGTTCAAGGTAATGTAACCATCTTTCTGTTAAGAGTTCAAGGTAATGTAACCATCTTTCTGTTAAGAGTTCAAGGTAATGTAGCCATCTTTCCGTGTGTTTTGAATGAATAAATACTTTGAAAGGATTGAAATACCACTTTATGTATTTCTTTTGTTGACAGCTCAGTGAAAGCTTTAATATATAAAAATCAATTACAAAAAATGAATTAAGGAATTATTTTTTATCAAATATTAGTTGACAATTTGCAAAGGATACATATCATATTTATTCGATCATGTAAATGTAGTACATGTAAGTGCCTTTTGTAGCTGAAGTAGCTCCATGAGGCAGAGGAGCTTTCAATCATTGTCTTGGCTTGTTGATATATAAATAAGTCCATGAAGCATTCAACCCTCCTTACCCTTGGACAGTTCTTGCCATGAATGAATAGAAAATTTATCATCTGTTCATACATTGTACAAAAAATGTACCTGAACTCTCTATTCTTAATTTATTATGACAGTCAACCATAGTTTCTTTTTAAAACATGCAATTAACAGTATCAGATGATTGTAGCCAGTTGTTTCACTTATATTTACTGTGTGCGACTGGAGTGGTCTATCATATGTCTGATCGGCTTTTGGTGGCAAACATTTCATCATACATTTTTGTCTTTTATGCATAAAATCAGCAAGTTGGTTTCCCTTTTTATTTTTTTACTCATTTTGTCATGCTAGGGTCTTTCATTGCTTACTGTAGTATGGTTTGGGTTTTGTTCATTGTCTAGGGTCATACAGTGCGATACATGTGTTTACAACTTCATCCTTTGGTCTCTGGTGGATAGTTGTCTCAATGGCAATTATAGCACATCTCCTTATTTTATATAGAATCAAATTGAGATAAGCAGGTTTTTCTAAAATGGTTGACCAGGATGCAGGAGAACTTGGTCTGGACTTCTACTGAAAAGAGGGTGTGTTCGTTAATGACTGAAATTTTGTGTTGCACCAGGTCATCTTCAAAAATCTCAAAGTTGTTGCAAGGATTCTATAACAGGCAACTGATGTGGCACTCTCTATGACATGTATATGTATATTCAGGACATCATATTTAACACCCCCATTCCAACAAGACATGGCTGTTTTTTTAAACATCCTGCAAACGGCAAAAGGATACCACCACAATCCTTAGCATTGTCTCACTTGTGTACAGTTAACCATATTCACATACCCAATCACCCTTGATTTCATTTTCATATGTAGGTTCCTTCTTGACAGATATAGCAATAATATCCATTTAGTCACCAATATCAATCATGACAAGTTTTCAAAAGTTAATACTGTCATGAAAATGTGAGCATAAAATTTTTTTAGGAACCTGCAATGTATTAACTGGTGGATCAGTAAGCATGGTAAGCTAACACACAACAAAGGATGTTTTAATATGGTTTTGATACAAGTATGGCCTTATCTTCTTTCTTGATGGGGTTTCTATTCAAAATTCAAGTTTCATAAAAACCTTAAATGAATAGAAAATATAATAACCAACTAAAATATAAAAAATAAAAAAATGATAGAATCAATGTTTAAAAAAACTTTTAACTTATGCAAACAAATACCTCTTGATATGCAGTTTCCATTACAAATAACTGTGATAAATGTAAATTACCAACATATACAATGATGTACATGTATGAAATGAAAAAATCATAAAAACTCAACCAATTTAATTCAACATACACATACTTAACGTACATGACATATTTGAAAAATTTTCCAAGTAGAGTGTGAAAGACTTAAAATTTTTGCTGATTCAAATTTGACCTTTTAATACAGATAGCATAGACCATTTGTAGACATATACATGTAGCTTTAATATATTTCAAGCATGCAACAGCTTAGTGGTTTAAACTATTTAATTACAAAGTTGTCCTTCATATGATACCTAGAGTAAACAGGTAAAACATTGATTGTTGGTTGCTAATAATGTCCAGTAGCAAATATTTCAAGCATGTTCTGCAGTTCAGGATGAGAATAAATTAACAATTAATACAATAGGTACATTGAAGGTACTGCATTAGAGGCTGTTCCTGATGAAATTCAGGGAAATTTGGAATGCCACTGGAAAATTTAGGTAAATATGATAGGGACAGAAATTTTGCCTTGCAGCAGACCACCTATGGACTCCTCAAAAATTTGTTGCAAGGGTTCTTAACATGCAGAGACCTGGAACTCTCTCGACTCGAGGCATCAGAATTAACGTCACCATTCTGATGACCTGGTTGCTTACCTGTACATCCTGCACAGCAAAACAAACAACCAACTTTGGCAAGGGTTTTAAGTCGCCGTTTAACGTTCATCATAACAAATGGACAAATATGGCCGTATTTTCACCCCAAAAACTACTCTGTGTACAGACTTACCTGTACAGTTTGAAAAGTTTTAAGGCCTGGCATCCACTAGATATATAAAATTTAAATGCATTTTGTGTTTCAGAAAGATGTAATCGTTTTTGGATTTTGATGGGCATTTTTTTTCCTTCCTGTAGAAGGTGTAAAAATAAACAAACACCTGAATTGCATTTGATACTGTCCACTCAGTTACTACCTTTAACTCATCTATAGATGTGTAAATATCTATTGTCTGTCTATTGTCTATGCCAATCAAGGACAATCAATGCAATACAAACCAGTTGTTACCTGAGAGGGAGCATCTCAAAGTTGTATCCCAACTTAGTTTATTTTTACACCTTCTGCAGGAACGAAAAAAAATGCCCATTAAAATCCAAAAAAGATTTTATCTTTCTGATATGCAAAATACATTTAACTTTTATATATCTAGTGGATGCCAGGCCTTAAAACTTTTCAAACTAAACAGGTAAGTCTGTACACAGAGTAGTTTTTGAGGTGAAAATACGGCCGTATTTGTCCATTTGTTATGATGAACCTTAAGGCAGGGGGGTTGACATTAAAGCTTGACAAACAACAAGACAGCGTGAGAGATTAAGTATTATACTATTAACCAGTTAACTGGTTAACAATAACATCTTGTCAATGTGCAGTTAAACTTGAAAATTTACACGACTAATTCCGCTGATCACCCACTGTTCTTTGCTGAAAGGTAATTATGTGGCACAAAACTGCCCAAACTTTTCAATATAAATTGGGTCTTGTCTGCTGGAGTGCTGCACCAGGACTTTAGCTTTACGTTTGTTAAAGCGTCTTACCTTTCTTCGCTTTCTCGTCTGCTATATTTTGTGCTCTAAGACGTTGATCAAGGATGTAAATCATTTCCCCTCCTAAATTTATGAACAATAAAGGCAATGTTTTACACGACATTTTTCTTGAAAGTGTCAAGAACCAGATCGAATCTGTCAGTGCTCGTTTATTAGAAGGTCAAGATTATTGTCAAGACGTTCGGAAGTTTGCAATGACTAAAAGTCAACACAACTTCGTAAGCTCGGACAAGATTTCCGCGTTACTTGGCAATGACCACTTCAGCAAAGATGTTTCTTTTTAAGTAAATTTTACTTTAAAGCATCTTTTTTATAAAAAAAAAAAATTCAAGGACGTATATTTCTGTATCAAACGTTCATGATTACAAGCTTCCAAGTTAGGCATTTTGTATCTTAACCATTTCGTACCATTGCCAATTCGGGTTCTGTTGGATTATCTTGAAGAACTTTTCAAGTACATGTCACAGGAAGAACTGTTGTACATATGATGTGAAGCAAGGCATATTTGGAGACTAATTATCATGTGAGTTCAAACAAACGGTACGTTCAGATATAATAGAGATAAATAAAAATGAGATTTGTGGTATATCATCAAACAACAAAAACAAAAAGCCATATATAGCAATTTTACCAGTACATTTTATATGACAAAAACTTCGAAAAATGTGGTGGAATTTTGTATTATGATGTTTAATAGGTGAACTCGAATAGTTGGAAATGAAATCAGCACTTCACAATAATTTTTCCTGAAGATATTTGGAACTTCTCTAGAGTTGTCCTATTCTTAAGAGTGAAAATGGTTCTTGAGTTGAATGATCTGATTGTTGGACTTATTTTGACAACGATCATTCCTATCCTCTACTGTGTATACCATGTCAGTCGCTCAAAATCAAAATCCCTGCCACCAGCTTATAAAGGCTGGTTTCCGTGGTTGGGATGTGCATTTGAATTCGGGAAAAATCCTCTTGATTTTATAGCCCAAAAGAAGGAGGTAATATTCTTAAATACGACACAATTCTATTGTCTAAAAAGACCAGCTTTCACTTTAATCATTTTCAAACCAGTTAGCTGGTCATTATATCAGTATGTTGGGTGACACAGGTGGGAGTAAAGTTACCCGACCTTATAATATAGGCTGCGGGGACGAGTAGCCAAATTGGTGTTTGTAGGCTATGCATACCCGCATCTGGTTTTATGATTAAATGTCATTGGATCGGAAATAAAATGTAAAATAAACGTGGAAATTACCGCAATTAGTGAATACATTGATTACTCACAGATGCATCTATTTTTATACATATTGAATTTTAATTTATGTATACACTGAAGCTTTATTTTAAGTCGTTTTAGATATTTTATAATTTTGGTTTCTGTTTCATATTTTACTAGAAAATTATTTTCACACTCAAGTTTTTACAAATTTTTTTTTAAAATTCAGTATAATTTTATTCTTTTTATGTGCATTTTACATTAAGTTCTAATTTTTTTATCAATGTTTCCTTTTACAGGGACTGTACAGTTTTATCCCTTATGTGTACATCTAACTTGCAATGTTTTTTATGTATTTTTAACTAATACATACAAATTTTAAAAATATTATTTGCCATTCTCTTCACTGAATTCACAAAATCCGCAAATAACTGATAATTTCCATGATAGTTCATGTTTTATTCCTGATCCGATGACATTTAATTATAAAACTGAATGCGGTTACGCGTAGTATATGAAGGCCAATTTGGCTACTCGTCCCCATATGCAGGGTCGCGCAGACACTGCCTATAATATATTTTCAATCTCAAGGTTCATTATTCCAATCCCAGAGGCAGAGACATTTAATACATGTATTATCATTTTATATATCTCTGATTATCCATAGCCAAAAATGGTCATGTGTTCACCCTCTTTGGAAGACCAGCAAAGTTAAATTTTCATTCCCAGGATAAATTTTCCAGATTTGCAAAATGTCAACCAAAATTTGTCTCAAAACAAAAATGGGGTTTACAGAATGAATAATAGGGCAAAAAAAAATTTAAAGATTAGAGAAAAATAGCATTAGGCCCATAAAAATTAAGAATAGAGAAAAATAGGCCCAAAAAAAATAATGGAGAATACAAAAGGGATGTTAGAACATAAAGAATAGAGAAAAATGGACAGAAAATAGAGAAAATTACCTAAAAAATTTAAAAATACAGAAATGAAGGACACTAACCAGACCCCTTTCTGTAGAGGGGATCAACCATTTCTGGAATAGCACCTTCTGCATAAAGAAAAACCATTGCACAGCAAAATCCAGTTAAGGTTTTAAATTTTCTAAAACAAAAATGCATTTGAATTTTATTTATCTTACTCCTGTCAAACCCTAAAACTTTTCCAGATGCACAAGTTTGTCTTTGTACTTCATTTACTTGGAGTAAATTGTTTTACTGAAAACTGCCATTTTTGCCTATACAAGTAGGTACAGATGAACCTTAAAAAATAATAATCCTGATACATGTATTATATATTTTTTTAAACACTGGTAAAACTTTGCCAATTAATATGATTAAATATTTTAATGAGGTAGTTATAAATAGGTGAAGAAAAGTTGTGATGAAAACATAAAATGATAACTAACAACTTCTAATTTGAAGTTGTAGATATATTTTTGTACTTAAAAGATAATTATATTAACAATATATCCCGTTTTTATTATGAAGATTTAAAAAGTGACCTATTCCAGCAGTACATCCCTGCCTCTTATTAAATATGTAGTAAGTAAGAACTGAATATTTGAATGATCATTATTCTTTGGAGTTTGGAACTTATCCAAAATATCCCTTAACAGAACTCATTGAAACTAAAAAGAAAATTCATTGACATGTAATTAGATCAAGAATTAAATATTCCAATTACTATATAAAAGTATAGTAAAAACAGCCACAATTAAAGCTTTAAACTTTTTCACCAACTTTAATCAAACCATGATGAAATGATCCTATTTAAAATTAGCCAATTTGCTTCTTTTGCTAAAAACTTTGCACATAGGTATTTAATACCCGTCAACTGCGGGGTCACACAGGGATATTTAAGAGCTCACTTGAGATTTTTCTATAGTTGCCCGCGTGATCAAATAACCTGTAATTTCCACATTTGACCTGTTTTCACCTGCATTCTTGTGGCTTTATACTTTTAGTTTCTTGGTAAAAATGTTAAATCTAAGGCAAATTGAATGCAAAAATATATAAGAATATTAATTAAATTATTTTTACTTTCTTAGGACAATTAAAAAATTTATATTTTGAAAATTATTTTTGGAAAGATTGGAATTATTGAATTGTTCCAAGTCTTTCCTAAGGCACCGGCCTCCCAAACAAGATGTTGCACAGGTTAGCTACTAAATATACAAATTAATACACACTGAAATATAGTTCCCTATAATTCTCATGTCTGTGTACATACAGTAGGCCCGAGAACACAGTTATTTCGTAGTGCATTTCTTTTAGACAATAAATTCAAATTAAAAAAATCGCACCTGCTCTATCTCAAAAAGATTTTTACAGTGTAGTGTTCTACTATTGATACAAATAATATCAAAATTATAGAAACTTCTTCCAGCTCTAACTCAAAATATTGACAATTCTGTGTTAAGGGGGGCTAAAATTCAGTTTGACAGCTTCAGACATTCTAATTTTTGACCTTTTTTAACTGGACCAAATCACTACTTAACATAAAGATTCAGCACCCAAATTTTTTTAACATGTAATTTCATCCCCTTACTTAATATTTCATGCATAAAGTATCAAGAAATAAATTGGGAAAGTGCATCAAAAAAAAATGCAAGTTATACACTGTTCACACTAGGGACTATATTCGTAGACAACGAAAACCAAAGGACGATAACTGTGTCCTTGGACCAGTATGCACATATGAACTGAAAAATTTGGGTAATATCTTTGGAGCATTTCATTGAAGTATGTTTGTCTTTAAGTTTTGTCATTTTGATTTGGTAAGAGTAATGATACAACACCAGTATGATTGACAACTGCCATGATCACCAAACAACCAGAATCAAGGGGGGGGTGGGGGGGGGGGGGGGGGGGGTGGGGACCTTCATTACAATGTCCCACCACCTTATAGTGCCAATCCTATTGACCAAATAATTAATCATCCGCAGTCTCACATTATTAAACAGACCCTTCATTATACATCTCAATACTCAAATACTTGACCTCATTATTGAATACACAAATGTATATAAATAGAAATGATAGATTTATTTATTGTCCTACACTACATAAAGTGGTTTTATAAACATGATAAATTATGTCTGAAAGTTAAATGATTAAGGATTTTTTTCAAAAGAAAAGACAAAATGTGAAATCTAGATATAAAAAGGTATTCAAGTAAATATATATTTTACTTTATAAACCTGTGCAATCCTCATTTGTAATTAATTATTTAGGTTACACTTATCAGTGATTGGCATGAAACAGTAAGTAAATTTCAAAACTCTTAACCTGAGCAATCCAATATTTTTTTAGTTTATTCTCCATCAAATGTCTTTTAACAGTATTAGTCTTTTGAATACAGGATGTGTATTTTTGCAATTAAGAATGAATCCCCATTTCAATAAAATAAGTTTTTAAGCCCCTGCCGAAGTGGGGATAAAGTTTGAATTGGTGGCGTCACTTTAACCGTTCTAGAGTTATGCCCCTTTATAAATAGAGAATTTGCAAAATTTTTCATTTTTTTTCTAAAAATATCAATGATGTCATTGTTCAAGTAATTTTAAAAATTGGAGTTATCTTCCTTTGTCCATGCTTATAGTTGAATCAACTACAATCAATGCTTTATACAATGCAATGTTTAATTTTGCCTTCCACTGATAAAACACGGATTAAGTTGATTTAAGGTAGTGTCACTTTAACCATTATTGAGTTATGCCCCTTTATAAATCGAAAAATTGCAAAATTTTTAGTTTCCGTTCTGTAACTTAAGTTTGCCCCAACCAAAAATGAAACCTATACACAATACTTATTACCACAAAACTAAGATCAAGTACAAATTTGGGTAGCGTCACTTTTATTGTTCTTGAGTTATGTCCCTGTTGTATGCAAGCGGGGGCATCATCTGTGTCCATGGGGACACATTCACCATTTTTTAATTTGTTCACGTTGAAAAAGTACATTTTCAATGCCCTTTTCCGGAAAATATTAAATTATAAATTGAATTGAAATACTCTACAACTTTTAATCTTCAGTGTCATATAATCATGATAATTGTTATCAAAATCAATAAGCAATTATTCAAGGAGAAAAATAGTATACCTATGTTTTAACTTACAAAATGCCCCTAAAACAACCTTTTTAGATTAATTCTTGGTGACAATATAGATCTTAGTTTCAAGTCTATCTGTTGGTCCCATGTCCTACACAGATAATTGATAAACTTTATAAAAAGAATCTTTATTTGGTAATTTCTTCTGTTTCTTAAGATAAAACATAAAAGGTGAAACATGTAGCAGGGAAGATTATTTGGTTAAGATATGAAATTGCAATTCAAATGAAATTGTTGTGCAAATTAAAAGACCCACTATCATTGATTCACATTTAGCTCATTTTACCTACTGAAAAAGTGCTTATCCTTCTAAACATCTTAGTAAATGCAATTGTCAGCAATAGTGCTATATTAATGTTTCTTTTTTGTCCATACCATACGTAAATATATAAATTGTTCAAACTACTCTTCCAATTTTTGTTGAGCCTTCGACTTTTGTCGAAAAAGCGAGACATAGCGATCCTACATTCCGTCGGCGGCGGCGTCCACAAATATTCACTCTGTGGTTAAAGTTTTTGAAATTTTAATAACTTTCTTAAACTATCCTGGATTTCTACCAAACTTGGACAGAAGCTTGTTTATGATCATAAGATAATATTCAAAAGTAAATTTTGTAAAAATAAAATTCCATTTTTTTTGTATTTTACTTATAAATGGACTTAGTTTTTCTGCCAAGAAACATTACATTCACTCTGTGGTTAAAGTTTTTGAAATTTTAATAACTTTCTTAAACTATCCTGGATTTCTACCAAACTTGGACAGAAGCTTGTTAATGATTAAAAGATAGTATCCAGAAGTAAATTTTGTAAAAAACAAATTCCATTTTTTCCATATTTTACTTATAAATGGACTTAGTTTTTCTGCCAGTTAACATTACATTCACTCTGTGGTTAAAGTTTTTAAAATTTTAGCAACTTTCTTAAACTATCCTAAACTAAACTTGGACAGAAGCTTGTTTATAATTAAAAGCTAGTATCTAGAAGGAAATTTTGTTAAAATTTTGTTCAATTTTTTCTGTATTTTACTTATAAATGGACTTAGTTTTTCTTCCAGTTAACATTACATACAGTCTGCAGTTTAAGTTTTTAAAACATTTATTAGATTCATAAACTATCCTGGATTTGTACCAAACTTGGACAGAAGCTACTTACAATCAAAAGATGGTATAGAAAGGAATATTTTTATTAATTTTTTTCCTCGTTTTTGTTGAGCCTGCGATTAAGAGCAAAAGTAGGCGAGACACTGGGTTCCGCGGAACCCTTATGAATTTTTCTATGAGTGATTTTCATCACTTTGATTTTCATCTCTACTTCCTTTAATGCTTAAATTTTAAATTATATCATCTAATATAAACTACATGTAAATAGAAATAAAGTAAAGCTATATAGTGTTTACTTAGCTATAACAAACTATGAGTCATGTGGTTTATGGGTTGATTTAAAACAGTGTGAATAAAACATTGATAAGAGGGGGTATGGCTTCAATTGATATTTCAATGATAACTAAATGCAATATTAATATATAAAAAAATGTCCCCTAAATACTTAAATTAAGCTGAAAAAATTTGTACGTGTTATGACCAGAGATTTTCATTTTCAGAGGTTCAGGTACAGTATTTGATGATGGACTGGTAAGCTACAAAATGTTCAGGCAAAATGTCTGGAGTTATGAAAAGGAACTATGTACATGATGTACATGTAGCAATTTATTACACAGATGATAAAAAGATGCTTACTAGTTCATATAATGAAAACTTTACTGCATACATTTAATGATGTTTTTCTAACAGATTGTAAATTCTTCATTTATTGTAGCTTGGAAGAATCTTCACTCTGTATGTAGCAGGGGAGCGTCTGACTTTTATTACTGATGCAGAAGATTTTCAATATTTCTTTCAATCACCATTTGTTGACTTTCAGAAGGCTGTTCAAGATCCTGTGTTAAATGTTGGTATGTAGAACTTGCAGTAGCTATAATACAGAGTCACATAGTAATCCAAATGTAAACATAGAAATAAAGGCCAGGTTGAAGTGAACTATAAACAAATATATAGTAAGGCCAAACAAAAAAATGCCTGTGATTAGGGCTACCCTACCTACCATATTGTTCATGCCTAAAATGCCTACCATAAGGGATTTTCAATTGGCACTTTTGGTAGAAAAATGACAAATTTGAGGATTCTCCATATACATGTAAACTCAAGGTAAAACTAAGAGTAAAATTTAAAAAAAAAACACTAATTCAGGCCTGGTCAGGAATATAAAATAAGGAGATGTGGTATGATTGCCAATGAGACAACTAACTATCCACCAGAGATCAAATTATGCAAATGTCAACAGAATATTGAAGAAAGTAGTACATATTTCACTAAAAATAGTTCATACACAAATCTGTATCTTTTGAAATATTTAAAATATTTGGGTAACATTTTGGTGTGAAATGAAAGTTTAAGAACTTGGGACCACTGTTGAACCCTTTTTGAATGTTTATTTTGAAAAGTAAAAAAGTTGTAAGAAATTGAAATAGATGGGCATATTAAGCCTGTTTCTGAATTAAGAAGTACTTGTTTTTTCTACTTCCTTACTTCCGGGAATCAATGCGCCCTTATATGCATTAAATAATGGTCTGTTGAATTTTTCAGCAGAAATGACTCACTTTATTGAAACTTCAGACAAAATGGCTATGAATGCCAGAACTTGGTGAATTTAACATTGAATGCAATGAAATACCTCAAGTAGGAAACTCTAATCACACATACTTATTTATTTGGCCTAATTATAAAAAACTCAAACTTGCTTGGGAAAAAATCTGAGACTACAAATCATATTTCTGCTGACTTATTTTGTCTAATTTGTAATAAAATTGTCCAAAATTGATTGAAAAAGTAGTCATAACATTGGAAATTACAAAAAATTCTTCCTGCATGTGTGAATTTCTGGATATTTAGTCTAAATAGGGATTGGACTTGGAGAAAACATGTGATTTTTCCTGATTATTAATGCCAGATGTAAAATAATGATATATTTTGAAATTTCAGCATCTGTAAGTAAAACATCATTTTTCAAGTACCACACAAAGATTCATGACATGGTTAAAGGAAGACTTGCTTCATCCAGATTAATTTACTTTTCTGACAAACTCTGTGATGAATTTAGGGACCAGTTAACACAGCTTGGAAAGCAAGGTAATACATTGTCATTTACTTGAAACTCACATTATGATATCTGTTTATATCTTTATTTTGAATTAAAAACACTTTGTGGAGACCTTAGTCTTTAATTTCAATTTGGAAAAAGATGTTTTTTGGTTGTTGTTTTTTTTATAATGGAAAACTTGTTGCATGTTCCAATAAATTGAATTGCTTCTAAACAATTTAGTAATAATTGTTAGAACAGAATTTTGATCTATGTATTTCTGTAGAACTTTTAGAATTATAATATGATATTAATACATTTGATTACCATACTTTTAATTCAATCAATCAAATTTAGTACTTCATAATTTTTTAAAGTGATTAGAAAGGATGTGCTATTTTACAGCAGCCACATTTATTATAAATTATATTGTAGGAGATGTCAGTTATTTATCTCTTAGTATGTAAGAAAGAATTGTAGACCTTTTATAGATTACAATCTATTAGACTTTTCAGGAATTAATGTATAAAAGCCTTCCCACCTATCCATTATGAGAAATAATGGTTCTGCATACAAAGAAATACTTTAGCATAGCCTAGACCAGAGGTTTCCAAATAAAATTGTACTATCCAGACATTATTTTTTTTTAACTCTTTTTAATCTCTTTTTGAGTTTGTAACTAAAGGCATTCAAGCTGTCCAAGGTAACCATAAAGTGGATTAACAACAAGGAATTTGGTCAAAAAAACCCAAAATGGTTACTTCGTATCTTGATGTTGGTTCTGTTAACTGACAGTAACTTGTACATTGATTCCTGATAACAATACCTTTGAAGTCAGTGAACTTAACTATTACTCTTCCCTATATTAATGCAATAACAATCTGATAAGAAAGTTTACTAGCACACATTTTCCTAATACCAGATGTTGAGTTGACGACAATAAAGTTCAGAATAGATGATGATTGATGGCTGCTTAACGTCCAGTGGCTAATTATTATGCATATTCTGGACGAGAACATGTTAATGTAATATGAATATTAACCCTGCTTTGTACTAGACTGAAATGCTGAGCCAGATTTTAACGTGCTAGTTCACAAAATAACAGCCCACAGAAGACATGTCAACTTACCCAGACACATTATTCTGACTCCGAGTTGACCAGTCTTTGCTCTCACTCCTTTATGCTGCGTGCTTTGCGGAGAAGCAGCAAATACCAATTTGAAAGTCTTTGGTTTGACCTGGCTGGGGTTTGAACCCATGACCTCCCACACTCGAGGCCATCACGCTACCACGAGACCACCGAGACGGTTGCTCAGAATAGAGACAGAATAGGTAGAATTGGTGCATATTTTTGTCAAGCATCCCAAAGTTTTATTAGTTCTTTTCATCTTTTTTTTTCTTCAAATAGATACATTATTTTAGACGAACATAAGATTAGTTATAGAACTTGCTGATTTATTTTAAAGCTTTTGAAGAATTTTTAAATTTCATATGTGTGCATGTCATGTAAGTAACAACATGATTCTGGTAATTTTTTGCTCAAAAACCTTTTGATTTTAATATTTTTTACAAACTGAATAATTTATTGCTAGTTTCAAACTGGTCAAACTACATGAAAAAATCTTCAAATATAGATAGATTGATGTTCTGTACTTGTTTACTTGTTAGGTGAATAGGTAAATCACATCTGCCAATTAACACTTGTTTAATGTTTTGGTGATAGGGTATTTAATGGATTTTTCTGGCAAACATTACCATTTTTGAAGCCTTGGCCTAGACACATATAAATCTTCCTTCAGTCATTCATTTGAATGTCAAGCAATCTATTAATATCTAAAGAAAATCAGAATTTCTTGAAATGATGTAAAGAAATATCAAGTATAAATGTAAATTAACATACCGTATGCAGTAATCAATACTGGTAATATGTTATCTTACAGGTAAAGGAGACCTGCATCACCTGGTGAGGAGGTCTATGTATGCTGCAGTTATTAATAACTTGTTTGGTAAAAATGTTTTACCAGTTAATTGTGAGGTATTTATTGCTTATTCTTGTGATTAACTGAAATTAAAAAGGGTTAAAATCTCAATTTATTTTAACTTTGTAGACAAAAAAAAAGATTAACTGCAACATATCAGTTGTAGTAACCACAAGCTTATTTGATCAAACATTTAATCTGTTATCCAAAAATTGATTAAAACAATTAAAAGTTTTACCTATCTTTTGATTATGCTTCAAAATAATAAGATTTAGCTACAAGTAAATCTCTGGCTCAACCCCTTTTTACAACTGATCATGACATCCTTAACCTTGTCCCATGAAAATTTGCCATATTTCACAACACCTGTCATTTTAAATATCAAGTAACAGTTTTCAGACAAGATTTCTTCAAAAAGCTTTTTCTTTTAAAACATTTTGTACTATTCAGAAACACAGAGAAGAAAAAATGCACCATGTACAAATGATGTAAATTTTAATTTATTGTCTAAAAGAAATAACTCTGTTCTCCAGCCAAATACATGAACAAGGCTGACTTATTAACCAATCCTTTAAAGGAGTTACTTCCCTTGAAAGATGAACTATGTTTACTCATTTTTCACGTTTTAAACTGATACATGGACTCATTGCAATAAACATTTACAAACAGGCTGGGATTAATTTTTTTTACATTAAAAATTTGTAAACCTTCATGGATTGTTTTGAAACTTGGACAGAAGTCTAATCTATAAAATCAAGAAATAGCATCAGAACTATAATACATTTGTAGATAAAGAGAAATTGGTACCCATGAAATGAATCCACAGTAGGAAAAAAGACAATTTTTTAGAGGTTATTGAGATGTTACCTTAGCTCAGGTTACACATTAATAACCTCTAGAAAAAATGTGTTTAGTTCATGTACTTATAACCTATATCCTAATTTAAAAAAAAAAATTCTTTAAATTTCATCTTTTGTGGAACACCAGCATTCTATTCATGAGCGTTTCACAGTGAAATTGACACAGTGTTTAAATAGGTCATAAAAGTAGTTCCAGGAATATGGTAAATCATTGAAAGCAACTCTAACAGACCAATTACATTCAAGTATTTGTAGATATGCAAATCGTATAAGAACCGTTTGAGTATAGCCTGTTAGGTTAAACAAATTATGATTTCATCATGATATTTTATTTATTTTCTAGAAAGAATTTGAGAAAATAGAAGAAATGTTTGTTATGTTTGATGAGCAGTTTGAATATGGTGCCAGACTTCCATCTGTTTTTCTGAAGTAAGTAAGATATGTGGCTAACTTTACTGTGGGAAATACAACTTCTGATGGCACCATTATTTTTTTATTTCTCTAGATCCATGTTAACATTGAGATGGTCTTTTCAATTAGTTGAAATTGTTTGTAAATTTCCTAAAGTAGCAGTTTGGACCTGCATAATGGAAGTTTTTAGTTTGTAACCCGGATTTGTTTTCTCTCAATCGATTTATGACTTTTGAACTCCGGTATACTACTGTTGCTTTTATTTAATTTGAAAAAAATTATGTGTTATCGATTCCGTATTCATTTTTTGGTATAAGAATATCCTTATTGACTCTGAAAGCAAAATATCCTTCCTCGCCATATTAGATGATAGTTTTCTTTATAACTTAAAAAGAAGGCAGAGTTGTAAATATTATTTAACACAATTTGATCAAATTTAATATCTGTCTCAATTGTCATTACAGAAGCAAGGACAAGTGAGTCTTTCATAAACAAAGTTCCCTCCTGATTGAAACCTTAAAATAAAAAGCTAAAAATCATTAGTCTGAATAAGTGATTATGTGAAATCCCATATCATTTAAAGCATTGTGTTTGATATATTTTTATATCTAGGTCATGGTCCAGTGACTTTGAATTAATTAGTAATTTTCAATGTTAAGTTTTCAGCTTAAGTTAGTTTTGATAGGAACTGCTTGTGATGGATCAATGATATTTTGTATAAAATTGCATTACTATCAGTACATATCAGTTTGATGACTATTTCGAGGCCCTGGCCATAGGTCATAGACCAGCTAATTTGAATTAATTAGCAATGTTGTTGTCAATCAGATTGTCTTTTTTTTTTAATTTTCTGCCGACAGCCAAGACATATGTCTGTGTCAATAGTTTATTCTTGGTATATGATATATGATACATGCACTTATATGTTAATGACTATTCATGCTACAAATCAAATTTTCAGAGATTGGTCATCAGCCAAGAAGTATTTGATAGAACTGTTCAGTAAAGTTGTTCAGAAGACAACAAATAAGAAGTCAGATGATGATGAGGTAAAGTGTGAATTAAATGTTTGTTACATGTCAGCAAGACAGCAACCCAATGACATAAATAACCAAAAGGCATCTAGAATTCAACATAAGTCTTCAACAATATGAACATTTGAACATTTTGGACGCACCAAATTTATAAAGTGTTATTTTCTTATCTAGCACTGGATGAATACTGCTACTGGTAGCCTGCTAGCCCCTAGGGTTATCATCAGTTCAGTAGTCAGTGCTTTGGTACACACATGATTTATAACTTTGTTAAATTCGCCATTGATACATTTAGAAATTTTTAAGACACTAAGGTTACAACTATCTCAATCAATTGATTAATTCAGAAAAAAATTTGGATGCACAAAATTTATAAAGTATAATTCTTTATTCAAATGGGTAGATTAAGAATTGCTGTTCTTTATCCTAATTTTCTTGTATTTTTCAGACATTGCTACAATCCCTGTTAAGCTTAGTACAGGACCAATATAAAGCAAACTATAGTTTATTGTTATTATGGGCATCTCTGGCCAATGCTATACCAGTAAGTGTTGTTTTAAATGCTTGCAATTTATATTGTGTATATGTATCTTTAGTTTATGCTTTTGATTTAAAACTATTAAAACATATACTCAAAGAAAACAACAACAAAAAACTGTAACGTGTATTTGTGCATTTGTTCTAGATTACAGTGATGCCTTATTTTCATTTGTGATTCTCTGGTTTGTTTTTATATATTCGAAATGTTGCTTCAAATAAGAATAACACTATTTATTTATTTTAAGTTACAACTATATCGTAAAATAATTTATCTATTCTTAGTTTCTACACATAGTATATACTCATAATATATTTCAATTTCTAATTTTAGTATCTTATTTTCATTTTGAAATTTATTTGGTTTGTCCATTTTATTGGGGTTACAGAATCAAATGAATTTAAACGAATTGTTTGTTGATTCTCTAGATTTTACCTTGAAAGAAGAGTTTTCTTTTGGTACCATTTTTTTTTTCTTTTTTTCGGTGGCTGGGATTTATAAACAAACAAAAAATACTACCCAGTAAAATCTATATACTCAATGAATTTCTCATGTGCATTCAAAAAGTATGAACTAAAGAATCACCCTTGAACTAGTGAAATTTCTGCAAACCACAAAATGTTGATTTTCACAAATTAATATACTTTCACAGTAACATTTTCCCCTTATAGATAAACAACAGTTCAAACACAAGTAGATGTATTATGATAACTGCATCACCATTTATATATTTCACATGTTTTAACAGATAACATTTTGGACACTAGCATTTATTTTGCATGATGAAAAAGTACTACAAAAATTGAGAACAGAATTGACTAGTGTATTTGGACAAAATGGTAGGATGAAGAACACATTTATGCTGTTCTTTCAAAGTCTTTTCTTACAAGCACATTTGAGTTTCTTTTGATGCTTAAAGGCTTTTTCTATCTACTTATAATCACTTATGCATTTCGATCACTTTTATTAAAATGTGTGGCTTGCATTTTAGCACCTTAATAGGCTAGTCATTTTACAGTAGCAATTAATTGAAACTAATAAATTTTTTCAAAATGTACCAGCAGTTTTGTCATCAGCTTCATTAATCACCTTTTACTAAAAGAGGTTTCACTAAACAAGACTTTAACCTTCCCAAAACATCCTGAATGTTCAATGAGTCATCTTGAATCCTGGCTTCTTCAAAAATAGTTTGCACTCTAATTTGATTATTAAGAAATATTTAATTGTTCTGATTAACTAGGTTGAAGAAAATAATTTATTTAGGGTTCCCTGCGACAATGCTGTGTGAGGAACAAAAAACTGTTAGCCATCCATCTGTATGACCTTGAAGTGCTGTCATCCTTACAGTTCTGGATAGATTTTTTATAAAACCATATTATGTTAGAGTTATCAATTAAGTTAACAGGGTTGATAAAAATTGTTGTGAGAGTTATGCTCCTTAAAAGTGAAATTTGCCTTTACAATTGGCTACCATAGTTGAATTATACACTGCCACATATGGTACACATTTTTAGCTCACCTGGCCCATTGGGCCAAGTGAGCTTTTCTCATCACTTGGTGTTCGATGTCCGTCGTCCGTCGTCGTCTGTTAACTTTAACAAAAATCTTCTCCTCTGAAACTACTGGGCCAAATTTAACCAAACTTGGCCACAATCATCATTAGGGTATTTAGTTTGAAAAATGTGTCCGATGACCCCGCCTGCCAACCAACATGGCCGACATGGCTAAAAATAGAACATAGGGGTAAAATGCAGTTTTTGGCTTATATCTTTGAAACTAAAGCATTTAGAGCAAATATGAGGGTTTAAATTGTTCATTAGGTTGAAATTTATATGCTCCGAAATTTTCAGATGAATCAGACAACCCGTTGTTACGTTGTTGCCCCTGAATTGGTAATTTTGAGGAAATTTTGCAGTTTGTGGTTATTATCTTGAATATTATTATAGATAGAGTAAAACTGTAAACAGCAATAATGTTCAGCAAAGTAAGATCTACAAATAAGTCAACATGACCAATATATTATAGTCAATTTTTAATGATTTTCCATAAATTTTTGTAATCTTTTACAAAAATCTTCTCCTCTGAAACTACTGAGACAAAATTAACCAAACTTGGCCACAATCATCATTAGGGTATCTAGTTTAAAAAATGTGTCCAATGACCCTGCCTGCCAACCAACATGGCTAAAATAGAACATAGGGGTAAAATGCAGTTTTTGGCTTTATATCTCTGAAACTTAAGCACTTAGAGCAAATCTGACGGGGGGGTTAAAATGTTCATCAGGTTTAGATCTATCTGCCCTGAAATTTTCAGACATATCAAACAACTCGATGTTGGGTTGCTGCCCCTGAATTGGTAATTTTAAGGAAATTTTGTAGTTTTTGGTTATTATCTTAAATATTATTATAGATAGAGATAAACTGTACGCAGCAATAATGTACAGCAAAGTAAGATCTACAAATAAGTCAAAATTATCAAAACTGTCAATTGACCCCTTAAGGAGTTATTGCCCTTTTAGTCAATTTTTAACAATTATTCATAAATTTTTGTGATCTGTTACAAAAATCTTCTCCACTAAATCAACTGGGCCAAATAGAATTAAACTTAGCCACAATTTTCAAAAGGGTATCTTGATTGAAAAATATATCTGATGACCCTGTCATCCAACTAACATGGCCGTCATGGCTAAAAATAGAACATAGGGGTTTACTATAGAAGTCTATGGGAAAATTGTAAAAAAACAATTTCAAATGGTCACAACTTGAAAACTAATTTAAATAATGATAAGGGGTCTTCAGTAACTATTGTAAGACTACAATGGGATGACCTGTTTTTAATTTAACTACTGGGCCAAATTAAACCAAACTTGGACTCAATCATTATTAGGGTATCTAATACTATTTATTATGATTTTAACCTTATTTTACATAATTTCCAAAACCACAGTAGATACAGGTGAGCGACACAGGCTCTCGAGAGCCTCTAGATTTGTAGTTTTTAATGTGATCAAAACTATACAATGCTACCTATTTATTACTGATGTACCTTAAGAGAATGGAAAACCAGTATTACAGACTCTGTCTTATTTAAATGTATAAATATATATTTTTGTGGAAAAAAAAGTAAATTTCCCACAAAATCTGGAATTGTCCATTGTCATATTTAAATGCTTCCAGGTATTTAGACTGCCTCTGAGATAAAAAAAAAACACCAGGCCCTACATATTGATTTAGTGAAGAAATGGAAATAGTTGGCATTGTCTAAACAATTGCCTCCCTCATATCCAAAAGAACAACAGAGATATTGGGCATTTCATGTGACTGAACAAATAACTCTTGTTTATATGGTGATAATAATAACATATTATTAAATTTATAAAGTACTCAAAATAAAAAAAAATAAAAATTTTACTTAGTGAATTACTGAAATTTATTTTCAGTTGACAAACTTAAATCACAACTTCATATTGAATGAAAAAAGAATACCCAAGAAGTTGCCCCTGTAAACAATAGTTTGAAAATGATATTTAAGTTAGATTTAGATATTTAAAGGCTGACAGATTTATAATTATTGCAATTTTATATTTCATTTCTTAAGGTCAGTGTCCAACTGTAACAGAAGACGGTCTGAAAAAATTACAATATCTAAAATGGTGTGTTTTAGAGTCCATTAGACTTAGACCTACTGGTATCATCACAAGACGGGTTATAAAATCCTTTTCCATAAGGGTGAGCAATGCATGATCTTTTGATCTTTTTAATCTCTATATTGCACACTTTGTAATCTCTTTTTTGCACACTTTGTAATCTCTATATTGCACACTTTGTAATCTCTTTTTTGCACACTTTTTAATCTCTATATTGCACACTTTGTAATCTCTTTTTTGCACACTTTGTAATCTCTATATTGCACACTTTGTAATCTCTTTTTTGCACACTTTGTAATCTCTATATTGCACACTTTGTAATCTCTATATTGCACACTTTGTAATCTCTATGTTGCACTTTTTGTAATCTCTATATTGTACACTTTATAATCTATTTATTGAAAATAAACTCTTTATTGAAAATAAACTCATCATAGATATCAGGATTAAAATTTTGACCGCCAGATGTGCTTTTCGTCTACAAAAGACTCATCAGTGATGCTCAAATAAAAAAAGTTAAAAAGGCCAAATAAAACATGAAGTTGAAGAGTGTTGAGGACCAAAAGTTTTTTTTATTTGTCATATTTTGAAGACCTGGTAAGGCGATAGTACAGTGGACTGCTCGGTAGGAGAAATTTGAAAGAAGACCATTGGTGAAAGTAAACAAAACTAGTTGAATGAACTTGGTCATTGAGTTTTTTGATATTTGATTTTTTACAATATTATTTATTACATTAGTGTAGGTTTGGTTAAAACAAATCTACTGAAAATTCAGAAGTGATATTGTTTTAGTAGATGCAAAATAATCCTATAAGATGTTTAACACATTAATGAAACTCATAATTTTATTTACATAAGTAATGTACACTTTGATTTCTGCATATTACAATATTCAAATATATATAGTATAATATTGTTATTTTGATATTGAAACCATGACAGAATATTTAAGCATTAGGTGGCATTACCTTACATGCAGCTGAAAACTTTTAAATATTACTATTATGTAAAGCATGTTATGTATTGATATGCCAGTTTAAATATGATCAATAAGTACTTTTACGTTGTAGGATATGAAGATCCCAGAAGGAGACATGTTAATGTTATCACCATATTGGGCACATAGAAATGAAAAATATTTCCCAGATCCCTTGATGTATAAACCAGTGAGTATTAGGCTATTGTGATACTATCTTTTTATCATCATGACTTGTCGTTATTGTAATGAAGTTGTATATGCCAACATAACCTACCCAAAGAATATATTTATTGTGAAAATAATACACATTTTACCAAAGAAAACTGGTTTGAAACATGTCAAATTATCCAAATTTTAGGCATGTCATGTTCGACTAATTATTGTAAAGCTTTTTGTTTGTGTAAAAATAACCTTTCTCAAAATGCCAGGTGACGTTAAGAAATCAATTAATCAATCAATCTATTAAAAAAATTAATAATATTTTAACAAAAATTTCTCATTTTCATTTTCAAGGAAAGATGGAAGGAAGCAGATATAGATAAGAATGTATTTTTAGATGGATTTGTAGCATTTGGTGGAGGCAGATATCAATGTCCAGGGAGGTAGGTAGAACAGTACAATACTAGGACAACACCTTGGTTTTGGGAGGTAAAAAATGTGTTGCTTTGATTTACGTTTATATTACGAGTGATAGAATGAAAAGAATGGATATTTATTCATGACAGAAATCCCTACTTGCACTAGAAAAAAGCACAATCAGGGAACAAAGGGAACAGTGCTTTTATTGCTGTTCTTCATTTCAAAGTGGCAGCAAGTGACAAGCATATTTGTTGTTTGTTGTAAACGTAGAATTCTGAGCGTTCATATTTACAAATAAACACCATCTTAATACTGTATTGTGTAATCACAGACATGTAGACAAAGTTATTGCGTAATAATGGACATGTAGACAAAGTCGAATTCACAACATTGTTTATTATGGTATGTATGCTCTATCAGTCACTAGATATCTGTAGCTTTGGTTCGTTTTGTGTAGGCAAAGAAAATAGCTTTGAAAGTGAGGAAAAGAACAATTGATGGGCAAGAAAATGTTTATTTATGAAAGAAAACAGATGTGGGATATATGTCAATGAATAGGGACTGAAAAACAAGTAACTTTTATAGATACTGTGGATTCATTATTATTAGAAACTTCACTACAATGTTGACAAGTAACATGCATTTAAGAAACAACAAGTCACTGTATGGCCTTCAATAATGAGCAAAATCCCTACCATCAAGTCAGCAATAAAGGGCCCAGACATAACAAAATATGAAACAATTCAAACAAAAAACCTACAGACTGATTTGTGACATATCAATAAACAAAACAAACATAAACAAGACAACAATCATATATGCCTATGTATTGTAGGTGGTGTACTATCTGTATGTATGGTTTTCTATTATAGGTGGTATGCTATTTTAGAAATCCAGATGTATGTTGCTATGTTTATACAGATGTTTGATTGTAAACTCCTCATTAATTCCGTTCCAGAACCTGTAAGTTCCATGTAAAATTCTTCATAAATAAGAAGAAAATAAAATAAATCGACAAACCCTGCAGTAAGAATACAGTGCTTAGAATATAAACAGTCTGTTGCTTTATTTCATGTTTTGTGAAATAATTCCTGAACGTTTTTATTTTTGCCAACGTTTAGCTTTAGTGAAACTACTGAAAAAAAAAAGGATTGATTAATGTTTAATATCTACATATTCACTTTCTGTCATATGTGTGATAAAGTTATGAACCCTGTTTTATACTACGATGACATTTTAAGCTATAATTTTAACAAGCTAGCTGACAATAGTAATGATCTTCAATAAGACATGCCTAAACATGTGGGTTCCATATATTACTATCAATACATATAAACTGGATCTTAAGTTAACTTTTAGAAATAGTGCACATTAAGATAGATAGGACTTTAATGATTTTAGACTGTACAGGTCAGAGATACAGGGACGGATTCAGATGGGAGATGTCCATCTGTATATCCAGAAATTGATTTTCATTCTCTAACTTAAGTTTGCCACAACCAAATGTTATGAAACTTATATTTAATGCTTATTACCACCAAGAACAGATCAAGATGAAAATTGGGTGACATCACTTTGAACGTTCTCAAGAAATATCCCTTTGTAAATGGAGAATGGCTGAATTTGCTATTTCCGCACTCTAACTTTACTTTGCCCCAACCAAATGTTATGAAACTTGTACACAATGCTAGTTACTACCAAACCAAACACAGATCAAGTTTAATTTGGGTGGCGTCACTTTCCATGTTCTTAAGTTATGTCCCTATATGAACAGAAAAGTTGCTGAATTTGCCGTATATTTATAAGTGGGGGCATCATTCTTCTTTTATTTTATTTTTTGCATAAATGACTTGAAAAATAAATCAATCAGAAATATTTTCTTTGATGTTCTTGAATATTATGATCAATACCAAGGCAGTGTATTATATAGCCCATCTAACTATTTTTATTATTTTTTATATATATATTTCAGAGCAAGAAACATTTAGTAGGAACACAACAACCAGCAGAACCCTGTCCTGTGGAATATAGATTAAGAAAATAGGAGCTATATTAGATTAAAATGAATTACTCAGGGAAAAATTATCAATTGACACTTATTTAACTATATGGAGTTATTTGTAATTATTAGTAGTGAAATTATTATAGTGAAATAGGTATTTTTTATTATAATTTTTATGAATAATGCAATGGATGAGAACAATGAAAATACTCAATTTTTTTTAGGGATTCATCTATAGTTTCATCTTTATTCAAAGTGATAGAGGTATTATAATATTCCACACATCCAAGTTGCAGAGGGTATAATGTTTTTGTACTGTCCTTTAGTCTGTCAGTCATTCATTCCATCATCAATTTGTTATTGCTAGTGAATTATTTTTGTTGAAATTATTCTAATTTAAATGAAGGGTTCATTCTGATATCAAAACCACAAATATGTGTGATAATCAGAATAATTTAAAATTTGTAACTATTTTTTTCATGAAGGGAACTTGTAAAACTAATGTATCCCATATTAATTCTTGTCTTTGGGATATGTAGTCCTATGATATAAGACTTCGTAGGTTCATATCATTTGCATTCAACGTTTTTTATCAGATCTGATAAAAAACGTTTAACGCAAATGATATGAACCTACTAAGTCTTATATTATAGGACTATGGGATATGAAAAAGATTTGATTTTATTGCTAATGAGACCATTTTCCACCAGAGACCAAATGACATAGAAGTTAATAACAATTCAAAGATAGTCTCTTAATGTTTTATCAGATCTTGTAGGAATGTTGCCAATCATCAAAACCTCAGAAGAATTTTATATTAAAACAAAGTCTGAAATGAGGGACCGTTATTTTTGGATAGGGACTTGAAATAACGAACCAAATTAATTCTTGTCTCCTGGATAGTGTGACATTGTAAAAACATCCCCCTGTTAATTCTTAAAACCAGGACAGCGTCTTCGTACATAACCAGATCTTTGTTGCAGGACAAGGTATGATTTGGGACTCACTCTGACTTTCAGGAAAAAATGTTGACTACATTTACATTGTACTTTATAAAACATTGCTGTTTAGTTATAAATACACCCTTTTCATCAGTTTTACATCCATGAAATTACTGTAAATGAATTAAAATGAGGAAATCATACAAAATGTTGACTATATGACCTGCACATGCAAAGTAAATATCTATAGCACAACCCTTGCCCATAAAGATATGTAAACTGTAATTATATTTTATGTATTTCTTGTGCTCTATTTTAATTTAACGAAAATGTTCTAACAATAAGCCTTTTTATAAAGATCTTACAATCTCAATTATGAATATCAATAACATGACTAAAGACATCACAGTCAAATTGTATCATCAAGGCATGGCTTATATTACCATTTTCTGAAAAGATGTTGAATGGTTCTTCTGATCATTAAACAATTTGTTTAATAAGGACATCAGGGAATGTTTCATTTTTGGATGAATAACAGGGCAAATAAAACCCCAAAATGTACCTTGTCCTTTTGTCTAAAAATTTCTACTCATCCACACCTCAGATGAATTCAATAATCAGAAAAAACTTCTTAAATTGGTAACCAAAAGAGACAAGATAGAGTTTAAGGGAAGCATACTAAGTTTAGTTGCCTACCTAGCATGTATACCTTATATTGAATACCCTAAATATCAATAAAGTTTTACTCAGTTTTAATCTGTGCGATTAAATACAATTTTGAAATAAGACACCATTGGAAACTCTTCTGCATAGTTCAGTTGGAATTGTTTAAATTTATTTTTAGTGAAGATATTTTAATGTGCAATTCCATATTATTTCTGATAAAAAATGCTGTAATAGTTATTGAATAATGTGAACAACTAGTGAGAAAAGTAAATTTGTATCCCATTTTGTAAATCATGATCAAATAATTTTAATAGATAAAGAATAATGAGACAGATTTTTCTCGAAGCAAAGTCTAAGTGGCACATATGTGGTAAATTATAATACAGTAATCAAAAGAACAATGTTTTGTTTTGTCATTTCTATCTAATATGGCCAAAAAAAACAACAGCCATTGACCAATTCTGATGTCTTCTGTGATATCAAAGTGGATTGCCATTTGAGAAATTTTGTTAAGACTATGGGTACTGTAAAGTAAAGTATTGGTAAAAAAAAATTTTAAAGAAAAATTAACTTTTTTAGTGGTTGTCCTTATTTTTGTCCTTTTCGTGTTGTGGCAGATAATTGGTAATCTGCTAAATTTATTCACAACTTTTCTAGACTAGGATGGATTGGTGCCTCACAGTAATTCTAGTTCTACAAGATTGTAAACCCTGCAACAAATGTCTCCGTACTTGTTACTTCATGACAAGGATCTAATGCGGTTTCAGAAGAGTAGGGGTCACAAGATTTGATGTTTTCGTTTAACCCTAAAAATACTGAATCAAATGAGTTAATTTATGCTTTAGTCATACAGAGGATATTTACTATATAAGCCTTAAAATACTAAATCAAATGAGTTAATTTAGGCTTTAGTCATACTGAAGGATATTTACTATACAACCCTGAAAATACTAAATCGAATGAGCTAATTCAGGCCCTAGTCATTCAGGGGATATTAACTATACAAGCCTGAAAATACTGAATCAAATGAGTTAATTTCGGCCCTAGTCATCCAGGGGATATTTACTATACAACCTTGAAAATACTGAATCAAATGAGTTAATTTCGGCCCTAGTCATCCAGGGGATATTTACTATACAACCTTGAAAATACTGAATCAAATGAGTTAATTTCGGCCCTAGTCATCCAGGGGATATTTACTATATCGGCCTGAAAATACTGAATTGAATGAGTTAATTTAGGCCTTAGTCATCCAGGGGATATTTACTATACAACCTTGAAAATACTGAATCAAATGAGTTAATTTAGGCCTTAGTCATCCAGGGGATATTTACTATACAACCATGAAAATACTGAATCAAATGAGTTGATTTAGGCCCTAGTCATCCAGGGGATATTTACTATACCGGCCTGAAAATACTGAATTGAATGAGTTAATTTAGGCATTAGTCATCCAGGGGATATTTACTATACAACCCTGGAAATACTGAATCTTAATTTAGGCATTAGTCATGCAGAGAATATTTACTATACAACCCTGGAAATACTGAATCAAATGAGTTAATTTGGGCCCTTGTCATCTATGGGATATCTGCTATACAACCCTGAAAATTCTGAACCAATGGAGTAAATTTTACCTTAGCAATCCATGACATACATGGGATATTTATGCAACATCCAAAAAAAACTGAACCAATGAAGTTTTGGCCTGTGTCATTCATGAGATATTTACATAACTACTCTAAAAATACTAATGAAGTAGATTTGGCCTTAGTGATTCATTGGATATTTACATTACATTACTATAAAATTCGTAAGGGTTCCGCGGAACCCAGTGTCTCACCTACTTTTGATTTTAATCGCAGGCTCAACAAAAATGAGGAAAAAAATCAATAAAAATATTCCTTAAGATACTATCTTTTGATTGTAAGAAGCTTCTGTCAAAGTTTGGTATAAATCCAGGATATTTTATGAATCTAATAAATGTTTTAAAAACTTTAACTGCAGACTGTATTTAATGTTAACTGGAAGAAAAACTAAGTCCATTTATAAGTAAAATACCGATAAACAGGTACAAAATTTCAACAAATTTCCTTCTAGATACTAGCTTTTGATCATAAACAAGCTCCTGTCCAAGTTTGGTACAAGTTCAGGATAGTAAGAAAGTTATTAAAATTTTAAAAACTTTAACCACAGAATGAATGTATTTTTTCCAGGCAGAAAAACTAAGTCCATTTATAAGTAAAATACGGAAAAATTTTTTTTTTAGCAAATTTTACTTCTGGATACTATATTATGATCATAAACAAGCTTCTGTCCAAGTTTGGTACAAATCCAGGATAGTTTAAAAAAGTTATTAAAATTTCAAAAACTTTAACCACAGAGTGAATATTTGTGGACGCCGCCGACGACGACGACGACGACGCCGACGCCGACGGAATGTAGGATCGCTATGTCTCGCTTTTTCGACTAAAGTCGAAGGCTCGACAAAAACCAGGTTTAATCCACCATTTTCTTCTGAAGGAAATGCCTGTACCAAGTCGGGGAATATGACAACTGTTTTCCATTTGTTTGATGTGTTTGGGATTTTTTATTTTGCTATTTTATTAAGGACTTTTCGTTTTGAATATCCCTTGGAGTTCGGTGTTTTTGTTATTTTACTTTTTACACCTAAAAAAATACTGAACCAATGAAGTTAATTTGACCTTTAGTTAGTCTTTCCTTTGATAATAATATTACTGCCCTGAAATGACTGAACCAAATGATGTAGATTTGGCCTTGTTAAGTCATTGGATAGTTATGTTACACCTCTGAAAAGATTAAACTAAAAGAAGTAGATTGGACCTTGTTCATTCATGGATTATTTACGTTACATCTCTGAAAAGTCTGAATCAAATGAATCTGAATCAAATGAAGTAGATTTGGCCTAGGTCATTCACTGGATTTTACGTCACAGCTCTGAAAAGACAACCAACATGAAATAGATTTTGCCTTTGTCATTCATTGGATAGTTACGTGAAACCTCTGAAAAGAATGAAGCAGATGAAGAAGTTTTGGCCTTATTCATTTATGGGATATTTACATAACACATCTAAAAATACTGAACCAAATAAGTGGTTTGCGACGAAGTCATTCATATGATATTTACGGTACACCCCTTAAAAAACTGAACCAAATAAAGTAGATTTGGCCTTGATCATTGAAATGATATTTACTTTACACCCCTGAAAATACTGAGCATATGAAGTCAATTTAGACCACACCTCTGAAAAATATTACTTGCGTTACACCTCTGAACATACTGAACCAAAGAAATAGATTTGGCCATAGTCACCCAAGGGATATTTAGGTCACACTCCTGAAAATAATGAACGGACGTAGTATATTTGTTCAGTCATTCAGGAGAAATTAGCTTTGCAACTCTGAAACTACTTAACCTGTGAGGTAAATTTAGGTTACACTTTTGAAAATTCTGAACCAAATGTTCATTGGATATTTACGTTACACCTCTGAAAAGACAACCAAATGAAGTAGATTAGGATCGTCATTTATTGGATATTTACGTTACCGGCACCTCTGAAGATACGGAACCACATGAGGTAGATTTGTACCGTAGGCTTTCATTGGATATTTCTGTTTCATCCCTAAAAAGATTTAAGCAAATGAAGTAGGTTTGGCCTTAGTCATTTATGTGATATTTACGTTACATTCTGAAAATATTCAACCAAATGAGGTAGATTTAGCAGTGGTCATTCATAGGAAATGTACGTTACATCCCTAAAAAGATTTACGCAAATGAAGTAGTTTTGGCCATGGTCATTTATTGGATATTTACATAACACATTTGGCCTTAGTCATTCATTTGATACTTTGTATTTCATAACACCTATAAAAATACTGAACCAAATAAGCGGTTTTGTCCGAAGTCATTGATTGGATATTTACGTTAAACCCCTTCAAAGACTGAACCAAATGAAGTAGATTTGGCCTTGATCTTTGATGTGATATTTACTTTTCAACCCTGAAAATACTGCAGCATATGAAGTAAATTTGGACATAGTCATCCAAGGGATATTTACTTTACACCCAGAAAATACTGAACCAATGAAAAACGTTCGGTCATAGTCATCCCGTGGATCTTACTAGTAACTTAAAACCCCTAGAAATGCTTAACAAATAAAAAAGATTTTGTCATAGTCTTCAAGAGGACATATACTTTGCACCACAGAAACTACTGGACAAATGAACAAGATTTGGCCTTGGTTTAATGGGATACTTACGGTACAAAAGTGTTTAATGGACCACTTTTTTGCATCTGTTAATAGTGTTAATAAACAATATGGATGAAAATAGTAATACAGATCAATTTGTATAAGATTGCAAACAAAGTTGTATAATTATGATGCTTTCCTCAATCTATCAATAAGACTGCTTTTATTTTGTAATATAATAAATATAATATATATGAGTGGTGTGTTTGTGTGTGATTCTCAACAAGCTACTTTACAAACGTGACCACAGGCGCTTGGGGGTATGCACCCCCTTTTTATATCTTTTTTGTGTTTTGATTTATATAGTAAGCATTACTTCATATTTTAACTTAATTTCACATATCTAATGTGCTCTTGCTCTTATCCATACGATTTTACAACAGCAGTAGTTTATTTATGATGCCCCTCTATTCTTATTTTACACATGAAGTAAATCGACTCCTTTGTAACTAAGCAGGGTCGGATTAAGGCGTGGTTGTGGCGGGCATGCATCTCGTAAAACTGCAAAGGCATTGGTTGTAAGTATAATGCACGAAAAAAGAGAGAAGAAAAGAAAATACACAGTAACTACAACGAAATTATAAGGACGGAGACAGCTCGAAAACAATCACAATGCTTCTACGACAGCTGTTCTGTGCGGGTAAAAATATTTTGGAATGATGAGACAAATAGTCAGCTAGAGTCAATGATTAATTGATTGCTGCTTGCTAAACGTCTAGCAGCAAGTATTTCAGGCATATTCTGGGGACTACAAAATAACAATTAATACAAATGGTAGGTTCTGCGGAATGAAGCTCTCGAAGTTTATACTGCCACTGGAAAACGAGGACATGTTGGATAGGGGCAGAAATTTAGCCTTGCAACAGGCCACTGAAGTACCCCTCAGAGAGTTGTTGCAAGGGTTCTTTAACGTACAGAGAGCGAATCGCTTTAACTACACGAAGTATCGGATTAGACGTCTCCTTTCTGACCGGACGTGGCTGCGTATTTATTATTTATACATCCCACACAGCCACACGGACGCCCTACTTTAGCACAGGATATACTGTCGGACGACATAATTCCAGAGATGACCATATTTCTATATCCTGGTCAGCCATTGGAGTGTAGCAAGTGTCAAGATAAGCGCACAACACAAGAACCGAAGCTGGGATGTCGGTACTTTAGATGGACTAGCATACTCTGTCGCGCATACGATAATATAATTCGTGAGAATGTCGTTTTGAAACTTTGACAAAGGGCCCTTTCGACTTTCTCGAATAGAATTGACTGATTGAAGATTATCGGATTATTTTGTATGAGAAATAACAACATACTGGACAAAATGAAATATTATGGGTTCTTTTAAATGAATCAGTCCATTAGCTACCATATCTACGCGGTACTTGATCGTAAGTCTTAAATCCCTCCACCACAAAATTCGAAAACAATGAAACAGTTAATTATGTAATGATCAGGATGGTGGCAATATTGATGGTTTTCTTTTAGGGGATTTTGGAGGGACCGGCTTTTTAAGATCTTCCATATCCTTTTCAGTTTGTCTCATGATATCTTGAACAAATCTCCTACACCGTGATTCAAGTTTGTCAAAATGAACTTTTGCTTTTTCTATACGCTTTGTCTTTATTTCTTCAAACTTATTTGGCACTTTTTCAGCAAGGTTGTCTATATTTGCAATTTCCTTCAGTTGCCTTAATGACATGACAACAGGCCTAACTGGCGTAGAACATATGACTTTAAGTCCTTTGGCTTCTTCATTTGAGTCTTCGTCTTCTTTAATTTCAGAATCTTCTTCCTCTTTCATTTCCTCTGGTTTCTTTTTTGCTCTTAGCATTTTCAACTCTTGGTGAAGCGGGGCTGATTTATGACGTCGGACACGTGCAATTACGGCGTCAGATGCAGGAACGACAGTAGTGAACCACTCTTCTGGGAAGTCTGATGTATCAATTCGTTCCTTTAATTTTCGTTGTCGGTTTAATCCTGATAAGTTCGAGTGGGATCGAAATGCGTGCGAATTTCGAGGATGAGGTTGGATGGTTGTTCTTTTATCGTTTTCCTTTTCGCTTTCTGGAGACGGAGTTCTCGTCTTGGGAATATCTGGTTCTTCTTGGAAAATTTCTAAACTACTTTTGATTCTTACTTTATGTCGCTCTTCATAAGATTTAAAGTCCGAAAGATCAGGTGTCAGTGCCCTTAAGCGTCGTTTTAAATTACTTGCTCTCTCAGATTCAGTGGGTTCAGCTTGGTGTATGTTTTGTTTAGATTCCTCCTCTTCCTCAGCCTCAGCTTTCTCTCGTATTTTTCTACCTATTTCCGAAGTCTTTAAAATAGCTGTAAAAGTATCGAGTTCCCTGTTTAATTCTTTTATTTCAGTGTCTCTTAGAATAACATTTTTGAGGTAATCTTTGCGAAGTTCGTGTAAATAACGATTTAGTCTGTCTCCAAGTTTTTCATTTTCAAAATAGATATCACTATGATCTACCATAAGAAGCTGTTCTATTTGACTTCTCTTTTTAGCGGTTTTGTTTAGTTTGTAAACCTCACTGTTCATCTCGATGTCTTCTCCGAGAATTAACTTCGTTGAAAGCCTGTAAAAGACAAAACAAAAAAATGAGCAAATATGTTTTTAAATAGTAAAGTTTTCATACGGATATCTTTGTGATATATAGGTGTCAGACCACCAATTCACCCACTTCAATTTAGAACGTATGTAAAAGTAGCCTTTCCCTGACAAAAAATAGTGCTTTTGATGTCATTGTTTACTTAAACTAGCCAACAAATTTGCAGAAATGAAACTTTTGGTGAAAGAGAAATATTTTGTTTATATTTAAACCATTTTGAGCTAAAATTTACTTGACTATGAGTTTGCATTAAAAATTGAGGATTAATACGCTCCATGGTATACCAGTACTAATTTAAGATTTCCATAAAATCAGGGGTTATTTTTAGTAGTACCTGGCATCCGAACGGTAGTTCTTCGTTACAAGACTTTAAACATAGGTTGAAAATTAGCATGAAGAAAGGTGATACATGTATGATTCAGGATATACCTGGTTTCCCTGAAGTTAAACCTAAGGTAAAATATTTAGAAAGCTGTGAAAATTGCAAAATTTGGTTGAATAGATAGAGATTTTGAATTATAACAGGTAACCTTGTTGGACTCGCTCAAACAAAGTTCTATTTGTCACGTTTGTAAAGCTTTGCATTAGTGGTGCATACAATGTCGGAAGGTGTAAAGTTTGGCGCGGTTAAGGAGTAAGACACATCGCTGAAGATATGTTATGTAAATGTTTTGTAAACATTAGGAATCTGATGTTCAGTAGTTGTCGTTTGTTGATGTGGTTCATAAGTGTTTCTCGTTTCTCGTTTTTTATATAGATTAGACCGTTGGTTTTCCCGTTTGAATGGTTTTACACTAGTAATTTTTGGGGCCCTTTATAGCTTGCTGTTCGGTGTGAGCCAAGGCTCCGTGTTGAAGACCGTACTTTTGACCTATAATGGTTTACTTTTATAGATTTTGACTTGGATGGAGAGTTGTCTCATTGGCACTCATACCACATCTTCTTATATCCATGTACAATTTTGTTGAATAGACAAAAATCAGAAATTATGTTTGTGATAACGCGAATTATGATAAATGATAAAACGATTGCCATGACCCAAGTTTTCCTACAAAATATGACAACGATATATGCCGGATTTACATCGACAACCTTGGTTTTATGTTTTTATATAGTTGAACGATCCAGTGTGATTTTGACCGTATCAGTCTGATCTGATCTTGACTTTACCAGCCAGCTTTAACCTGAAACCGTTTGTGTTGTTTTTATTTTTTGTATGCTGCAGTAGAAGGTAGATTGTTTACACAATTAAAGGCTTTAAAAAGGCAGAAAGAGGAAGAAAACGTGGCAAAAAACCTACCTCTCAAGAACTTCTCCATATTATAAACTAAGTTATCTCAAATTCTCAAGTTCATTTCTTTAAAAAAATCTCTAAATGGATTTTGAAATACATTTATTATTTATACATCGCTACGTTTATATAAACCAGATTGTTATGGGGTAGATATTTTACAATGATCTGGACAATGAGATTTCATAGATGCAAGAACTTGTTATCTGTCCTATCTTATCATGCAATCTATACTTAAACAAAAAACCTGAAGAAACAAACCGCAATCATTGGATTCTACCCTGAGAATATAAATCTATAACTATTGTATAGATTATGGTGATATATTGTCATTGGTTTAAACAGTACTTGATGAATGCCGATAGCATCTACCACAAAGCATTTAAATCGCTCTTGTAAAAATATCCGGATATTGGCATCATATATATGATTAATCAATGTCTAGGATGTGATTCCTAAACGTCTTTGCATTTAAATAAATTTTCAAGTTTTGACTGGTTGAAAATTTCGTTACTCCATAATAATAGTATTCATTTTTCAATGTCAAATAATTAATCTACTGCTGGTGTTGTCTGGATTAAGATAATTTTAGTCAACATACTTAATTTTGGCACCTCGGTCTCACAGATCAGCGTGTGAACGGCAGGTCATTTTAACCACATATCAATCATACCACATCTCCTTATTTTTATAGTGGTACAGTATAGTTGAACTACTTAGACCACTCGGCCAACTAGGCCCCTTTTGACCAATAGGACATCAAAAGAAAAACAAACTACTGTTTAAAGTCCTAATAAAAGTGAGAATGGAAATGGGGAATATGTCAAAGAGACAACAACCCGACCAAAGAGCAGACAACAGCCGAAGGCCACAAATGGGTCTCGAGTAAACGCAGCGAGAAAATCCCGCAGCCGGAGGTGGTCCCCAGCTGGCCCCTAAATAAAATGTGTACTAGTTCAGTGAAAATGGACGTCTCACTAAACTCCAAAACATATAAATGAACTAAAATTAAAAAAACCATACAAGACTAACAAAGGCCAGAGGCTCCTGACTTGGGACAGGCGCAAAAATGCATAAGCCTATCTTTGAAAACACTGAAAAACAGACCAATACAAAGAATGTTAATCAAATTTTTCACGCTTTCCATAAATTACTTTATGGTTTCGGTGGCGAAATCGGTAAGTGATAAGGTTTTTACATTAGATTAGATATCGGAACATTTCCAGTCTTCATTTGTTTTCATGAATAGCTTTGGTTATTGCAGAGATGAGGATTTATACTGGTGGTACTTTGCTAACTAGTGGTTTTCTAGTTTTAAAAGTAAACAGTCTAGATCTTGGTCGGTGGATTTTGAAAATTTTTATTCCACTTCGGCGTTTATACCATTCCCGAAAGAAGTTAATGGATGACGAAAGGCAGGTACAAATTCCAGCATATGGTAAGGACCATATCTTATGGTTGAGAACCTTATTCACTATAACAGTATATATATACGATTGCTTGTTGTAACGCAACCAAATTGTATATAGCCTAGAAATGGCACATACATAGCATAAAGAGGGCCACATCATGCCACTCAAAATCAAGTTACATATTTTTTTTTCTGTTTTCTAAACGTTATCTGTCAAATTTCAACTTAAAATCTAAAATTAACAATGACAACTTTAATAGAGCACGCACATTACAACAAAAATAAACGTCATTTGCGCTTTTATACTTTTTTTTACCAATCTACTGTTTTTTGTCCTTCGGTTTTTTTTTCCAAAATGTGATCTATGATCCTAAAAAAATCAAAGTTTACGATACTTAATTCGGCTACACAGAGAAAAGTATTATTTTTGATGTCGTAGCCTGTTTGCCGTTGTGGAAGGAAGTATTGGACTCAATTTTGTATTTTTGTGCATCTTGCAAGCTACACAGTGCAACTGCTATATATTGAATTTAATATGACGCTGTTGTACAGATTGTACATTTCAACAAAAAATTACTAAATTATAAAGTAATGAAAGACACCATACCTTCTATAGCTATTTCTACTTGCATGCAACAGGTGTATACTAGATGTCCGTTGTTTAAGCTTTAATTTTACTTGAATAACATACCCTACTGAGCCGGAACATACGAATATATATGACAAGTTACAAGTAGTTAAACAGTAAAGAATCAAATTACAGGATTTTGATATCGCGTTGAAGCACGCTGAGGTTTGATCAAAACAATTCGATATACATATTGTAATAACCTTTATATTGTTACTTTATTCATTGATGATATCGAAGTTTAATTCCTTGGTACGGATTTGTATTAATTATAATAAATAGATAGATGATACGTTTCTTATGAAATACAAAGGTCAACATTAAGAAAAATAATCACACTGTTGAAGCGTTACTAAATTCATATCATTTATAAATCAAATCTTATACCCACATCTAACCAACTGTTGGTCGCGTGCAATCCCAAGCAACACCGCGAGGAAAACTTACACTTCTGTTATGAGTTATGAGTAAAGGGTAATTTTCTTGAGTCAACATTGTCGTGAGGAGAAAAACAGCCAATAAAGCAGGACTAGAACAAGGGACCCCGAAAAGGTTTACTTAAATTGAATCAAGATCTCCGAGGGCTGGTTGCAAATTCTGGTGTCTGAAGGTCACATCAATTCAATGGTTTGCCTTTTGGATATCTGGGAACAAAATTCTCTTGAAAACAATACCGATAAAAGCAATTAATAGGATTTGTATTAAGTTCTCAACCTTAGCTTAGTTACATGAGCGATAACGTTTGAATTTAAATATCATTATGGTCATAAAAAGGTACTCAAACCAGCTATTTGCATACTTGCATTTGAAATATTTTTCTACGTTTTATTTTGGCTTTCCAAACTTTTTGTTACAAGCGGACCGACGGAAGATTATTTCAGAAACATATTGTAACACCCCCTCCCCGGACACAGAAAGTCTTGCAAAGATTTTGCATAGTTTGTTTTTTAGATTTTGTTTTTCATTTCTCTTCAACTGTTTTGTTTTGAGTGCCACCCTATGAGTCTTATGTAGACGAAACGTACGTCTAGCATAGTATATTTATATAGGCCTGGTATCTTTAATGAGTACGTATACACGGAAATCATTTCAACTTTTTTTATCACCACGGTGTCGCAGCCGCTACTGGTGGACTATCAGTTGTTGATGAAACCACCAGTCCAGTAGACAGTGTTTCGGTACTAGTATAAATATGTTTGGCATTTTTATTTGTAAATGTCTAATAAACATAAAGAAATCTTTACATTACTCCTTGTGCATTATAAATATTGTTTTTAGAGATTCAACTAATTGTTTTATATACAATATGGCATGAGGAAATGTAGTATGACTGCCAATGAAACAACTATCCACCAGAGTTCAAATGACGAAGATATAAGAAATTATAAGTAACCATACGGTCTTCAACAATGAGAAAACCCATACTGTATAGCCTGCTATAAAAGGCCCCGACATGAAAAATGTAAACAAATCAAACGAAAAAACAAACAGCATAATTTACGAAAACATGAACCAACGACAAACAATGGATTACAAGCTCGTAATAGGTGCACACAGAATGTAGCGGGTTAAACATTTTGAGAGCGTTTAATCCGCTCCTAACCTGGAACAGCGGTACAATAATACACAATAAGAAC